TAACTTCCATTTTGAGTCGTTATTCTGTTTTCCGGAAGGTTCAGGAAGGAAAATATCCCTTTTCCACGGCTATAACACAATACTGCCCTTGTTTCACAATGTTCGATACTTCAATGAGGTACTTTGTTCGTCATCAGTTTTATTTCCGTATCTGATATCACAATAATAATATTTATTCACCATTCAACTTACAATAAGCTTTGATAAACAATTTTTTTTTGCTTCAGTTCAAGATATGCCTGCTTGAATCTATATAGAATACAGCGTAGCTTTTTTGTGAGGTATATCATCTGCTGATCCCATCTCAGGTGAGGGTCCAAAATAATACCTAGATACTTAATTTTTTTGACAGGTCTAATATACAGATTTTGTTGAATGGTCAAGTCGAAATTTGGAAGAGACGTTTCTGTACTACTGAATGGCAAGTAGTGGGTTTTGGTGAAGTTAATTGAGAGAAGTCTGCTATCAAACCAATCTTTTAAATTATTCAGATCATTTTCAGTTTTCGTCTTCAGATCATACCAATTATTTGCTTTATAAACAATGACTGTGTCGTCAGCAAAGCTTAGGATTTTTCCACAGTTTTCTTGTAGGAATAAGTTATTTAAATATATTGTGAACAATATCGGTCCCAACACTGTCTCCTGAGGAACACCACATGTGATTATTTCTTCCGTGCTTGTCTCATTTTCAATTCTCACTTTCTGTTTTCTATTTGTCAGATAATTTCGGAATAAGTCGTTTGCTGTACCTCGTATTCCTATATCATCTAGTGTGGCTAAAAGCATAGTATGGTTGACTGTGTCGAAAGCCTTACTTAGGTCTAATGAATCCATTGTGTAATTATTTCAGAAACATTTCACCCTCCAGGAAATGTCAAATTTTTAGCAATGACAGGTCTGTCTGAGATGCTTTGTCTAATAGATGAGCATTACTTGAGAGTAAATCAGGTGGCTACAAGACGAAAAAATGAAACATGTCGCTGTTATTTGTTACAGCCGTAGAAAAATTATAGTGTATAACTTGCACGCAATGCTAAGTTCCTATTCGAATCATTACAGCATTCGCCTGCTCGTTAACCTATTCTTCCTAAACAGAATCTAACCAAACTCGGCCTAAATAAACCTTCTTCCTAGAAAGTATATTTTTCGAGAAATTGCATGTCAGAACGAAGAAGACTACTGTATCTGAACAACCTAACCTGACTCGGGCTAAATGAACCTTTCTTTCGTCATCACAGGGAATCCCTGAAACTATTAGGCATACGGTGTATGAAATTTGGAGTTACGCTGTTTGCCGGCAACACGTGAAATGACTAGGCATTTCAGGGAATGACAGATTTCACTGTTTGACGCCGACATATACATAATGATATACCCTCCAAAAGGCATACTGGGTTAAATGACAACCAAAAATCTATCACTACCTGACGGTCATATTCCAAATGGAAAGGGTTAGACATTTGGTGCTATTTGTTGGCAGAAACAACTGTCAAATTGAGTGTCGTTCGTCGAATGCATTATTTTTTGTCAATGTCAGTCATGATTCATAATTGATGTTCATAAGAAAACAAAAACACATTCAGTCGACTTGTACGAAGGCGCTGAAGGGTCACCTATACTTTTTTTTTAATCCCGACTTTAAAATCGGGAGTCCGAGATTAAAGTCGGGGGTCCGAGATTAAAGTCGGGGGTCTGACTTTGAAGTCGGGGGTCCGAGATTAAAGTCGGGGGTCCGACTTTAAAGTCGGGGGTCCGAGATTAGAGTCAGGGGTCCGACTTTAAAGTCGGGGGTCCGAGATTGAAGTCGGGGGTCCGAGATTAAAGTCGGGAGTCCGAAACTGAAGTTAGGAGCTAGATTATATTCGTTAAATATGTGGACAGAAATAAATAATTTTCATTGTTACTCATCAGTTTGACGTCAGCAACATGCTCCTGAATTTTATACATGTACTTGAGAAACACCCTGCACATTTATGTACAAACAATAATTTCACATCCATTGGATAATCATCACATGAGGATCAGTTAAAATCCTCCTTTTTGGATGTACACTGAATGTCAAATAATGGATCACACCTGCAGTACGACCATTATCGTACGTATAGGGTGATTGTTTATATTCCACTTAATAGCTAAGAATCTCATTTGTTTGTTCAAAGGGTGCAAAAAGATCACAATACAAAACATATATTTTCACAAATAAACTACCCTGAATGTCATTCCGTCCTTGGGTAGAGCTCAGAAAGATGAGTTCAATGATATATGATTACATTTGTAGGTATGAGATCACCCCTTCCGGACTATTTCCATAATCTTCTTCAATAAATAGCCAAATTTCAAAGCATTATGAAAACGTTGAGAATCAAGTTTTCAATGCGCAGTTTTCATTATGAATTAACTAATTATATATGTTATATTGATATTTTGTCAATATTAATGAAAACGTTGAGAATCAAGTTTTCAATGCGCAGTTTTCATTATGAATTAACTAATTATATATGTTATATTGATATGTTGTCAATATTAAGGATATTCGAATTAAACAAAAGTGATGACGTATTTTGCGAACCGATTATTTTCTCAGAATTTTCGAACGTATTTAATTTCACTCTTGGATAGAGCTAAGAATGACGAATTCAATGATATATGATAGAATGGGTCTGAGAACACCCGTTTCGAACTTATCCATGAAGTCCGAGATGAAAGTCGGACCCCCGAATTTAATCTCGGACCCCTGACTTTAATCTCGGTCTCCCGACTTCAAAGTCGGACCCCCGACTTTAATCTCGGACTCCCGACTTTAATCTCGGACCCCCGACTTTAATCTTGGACCCCCGACTTTAATCTCGGACCCCTGACTTTAAAGTCGGGATTCAAAAAAAGAAGTATAGGTGGCCCTTCAGCGCCTTCGTATAGACTTGTGTGTTTTCGTTTTCTTATGAAACTTCTTTAAACCACTTTGAGAAATGGATGATTCTCATAATTGATCACAGTTAGTTTGGAAAACGAATGTTCCAAAAAGTTATTCTTTTCCTCATTTATCACAATGATCCACATTCAACCATTTTCTGATCTAATAGAAATTAAATGATTTTGAAAGTGGCTCTGATTCTATTCACATCTAACATTCAATGTCTTACTCTTGAAAATATGGTCAATTGATCATATATCATTTGAAACGGGGTACGCATTTTTATCTTTTTGTGTTGATAGCAACTAGCGAATTCAGTGTCACTTTTCAAAATATGAGTTATAGTTTGAGAGATGAATGGTCCAAAAACTTGCCTCTACTTTAATTTTCAATAAATAACTATCCACAAAAAGAGAATAATCTCTGAAAGTGGCGATAATTTCATTAAATTTTGGTATTTGATACCTCTGTAATCAACAACCTTAACAAGGCATACTTGAACTGGCACATTCACTAGCTGTACATTCATTTTCTATTCAGTTTTTACTTTCTTTCCTTGTTGAGTGTCTCCTTTTCCTGAGGCAATACCAAAACTAGGTAATGAAGAAACGAACTATACGAACATCAGCGCATAACAGCATAATACACAACATCTGATATGATGATATTTGAATCTGAGACAATTTTTTGAATGATTCTTCCTGAGATCACTATCCAACCCTACTTCTTTCATCAATTGTTTTTTTTTTCAGTTCACCGATATACCATGGATCACGTGACATGTGTCTGAATAGAACTTCAGGTTGGTTGGGTGAGTTGTCGAACAGCCAGAATATTTTAATGATATTCTATTAATCAACCCTTTTCAGCTACAGGATATACTTGGTGTCTTGGTGAATTCACAATATGGCGTGAATATACATTCCATCCCAAACCAGAAAAGATATGTTCTCATGAATATCTTGTAGATATTTTTCAAAATAATTTCAGATTTTTTCAAGTTACCGTTCAATGAATCATAGATGATAGGTTTCACTATAAATCTCCAGAACGTAAATTTACTAATCTGTGGTAACTAAGGAGCATGATTCAGACACTATAATCCTTAGGCTTCAGAAAACAGTTTGATAATCAAAATGATACCTGAGGAACCATTCTGACTACCTGGCAGTCAGATAGTAAATATTATAAGTGCAACTCTGAATCATAATGAAATTTAACAGTGAGGACGTGAAAAGTACTCCTCCCCCTTTAACCTTTGAACGGAAAGAGGTAGCGAAGTCGGGTAAAATTCAGGAAAAAAGGTACATCTTTCACTACTATTTGGCATGAAAATGGTTGTGGTCACGTGACCTAGTGACAAGTGGACACCATCAACTGTTTTTTTCATATGTAGAGAGGGGTCACGTGGTAACTTATTTTGAAGGCCTTTCGATTCTTTATCCAACACCGCTTCGTTTGTTTCAAATATTAATATTAATGAATAAGAAAGTTGTTTAACTTTCTATTGCAACAGAATTTCGAGTAGGAATTGTAACAAGTGCTCAAAAATGCTCGAAATGTTCATCGTTCACTTATTGACACGAAAAAAATCGGTTTTGGAATTCAATCCGAACGTGAATTACTTTTTCCGAGGTACATTTCAAACGCTTGTCATTTTGAAACGGCTTGACCGATTTGCAAAAACAAAGCGGTGTTGCATAGAAAATCGAAAGGTCTTCAAAACGAGGTACCACGTGACCCCTCTTTATATTTGAAAAAAAAAAAGTTGATGGTGCCCTTTTGACACTAGGTCACGTGACCACAACCATTTTCATGCCAAATAGTAGTGAAAAAACTGGCTTGTTCCGTTCAAAGGTTAAAGAGAGGGGAGGGGGGAGAACTTCTTACGTCCTCTTTGTAGTTTAATCCTCCAGATTCCGTAGAGTGTTCTTAATTTTGGAAAGTGTGGATTGTATTTTTATTCCATTAGTAGAGATTAAGTACCCCAATTAGTCTACTTCTACAGTTAGTACTTACCACAGGATACCTTTGTTAGGAAAATAAGATGAAGGAGAGGAAAGGTGCCCAGTAAAGATTAAAAGTATAAATGCATAAAAGCTTTAATATCCGAGATAACAGACACAATAAATAAATAAATCATCGTAAAAGTAACAAACACAAATATACATTAAATTATATTAATACACCAGCATTGAATGACCAGAATAAGTTCAAACACTTAAAATTAATTGACTCAACGAATTAGGCTCCACATTTCAGAATAGATAATTCTATAATAATCGAGTGAGGAAAGCTAAGAAAAAATATGTGACCTCTGTGAATGAAAGTCACATTCTTGGCGATTAAGGCACATCGGAAGTTAAAAAAAGATATTGGGTGAACTGCTAAGGGCTTTGGCAGTGCTTGAAAAGTTCCTTGTTATACCACCACCATTCTACTTTATGTACTGAGATCGACGCTCACCTGGTACTTGCAGAGCCGCGTTGGTATTGGTCGTACCGGCCGAATTTGTAGCAGTGCAAGTGTACGTTCCAGCATCCTCTAAAATCACAAGAAACGGGAATATTGTTACTAGTGCATTATTGTGGCAGATTGATATCGAGATATTCCACCATGTTCAATGTTAATGTTCCGTCGATTATACAGGGTGAGTCATAACTATGGAGAAATAGGCTAAAGGCGTTAAATTTGAATTTTGTATTCGGTTTCTGCTAATAATTTAACTGTATATTCATCAATTGTCAACAAAATCTCCACAGAGGTATAATTTCATACAAAAATATTATTTTATATAATATCATTCTACAGTTTGTTACAGGGAGCGGCACGTGGAGGATTCCTGCTGATGAATTCGAATGGTAAATTTTTTTGACAAAATTTTTCAGTGATTTCGATCGGAAAATATGATATAAACATCCTTTCTACGTAAAATCGGAACTCTTGTTTTTTCAATGTTATTCATCATACAGGACGTGGAAAGATATTCTGATGACAGGAGTATGTCAACAAATCATAATTCTCAGATGTCAGTTCGTTATAGTTTTAGTAAGATGGAGAGGAAAATTGTGTATATTATGAAGAATAGCTGACAGAATAACTGGACTTCAGGTTACTGATGAGGATTTGATATTCAAAATGAATTTATTCGAGTAAAGTCATATAGCCTGTTTGTGAGAGATATAATTCACATAACACGAATGATTTTTTCGGAAGTTCCAATCCCATCAAGATCAGAGTTTATACAAGTATACTTCTCATATACATTTCAAAAATGTGCATATCGATCTTTATATGAATGAAAATGCAAATTCTCTACTTCAGAAGATTTTGTTTTCAGATTCTTATCGCCGGGAAAGTAGTTGTTTCATGTTGAATAAACCGAGAAAGAATTGATATTTCCATCACATATAGAGAATGCGAATTCTCAATGTATTTCTTTATATATATATATTAGATTATTCTTTCTCATTGATACTTTTGTTTGAACACGATATTCTCATATGTTTTCGAGAAAAACGCAATTGAACAGTTCATAGTCTCGGAAGGGGATTTCGAATATCATTTAAATATGAAAGAGTGTGCTTCAGACTGTCAGATGATTGTTGCTGGTGAAAGACATTTCTTGTAAGTGAATGAATTTTGGTGCGAGTTTATAGTCTTTTTCCACAGCAATATTTTATTTGGTCCAATCGTCATATTTTGGTACAAACAATCCGCCCTTTGCCCATGTCCCAATAATAGTTATGACCAATCCTGTGTTTTGCCTGCATTGACGCATATTTGGTTAGCGAGCTCATGATTTATCTGGAAACTACTATACAAATCATTCAGTAGCCATGAAAGTCAACATGTCACTGATAAGAGTGACATTTGACATTTTTCTAAAGTATCCACATGGAAAATGGATTCCTTTTGTTACAAAACGTACTATGAAATTGGTTCAGAAATGTTTAAAGGCTAACCCTTTAAAGTGCAATGTTCGATGAATTCCATATTTTCGATATAATTGCAGATTTTGTGAGTTTTAATGCAACCAGTGAATCGACGTGGTGTATGTTTGGTTGCGTATACCACAATCGCTTGTTAATAAACAAATTGATCGGAAATAGGGTCAATACAGTTCAATTTCTTGTACATTAATTAAATTAGTTGATGTGATGAAAAAATTATAGGAGTTGAAGAAGTCACACTAAAGTATACCATTATATTAGGACAAGCTACTTATATATAGTACAAGAACCGACAGCAAATCTTACACCGACATCTGATAACGAAATAACAATGTCTCAGGGGCATGTATATAAAAATATTGTATTCTATCGAATATGATCAAACACATTGTATGGACATCCAAAGTGAGTCAAGTTTCACCTCTGAGCATTCTCTGAATTAACTCAAAGACTTCCTGAATTTATTATAGGAATATTTATAGCAGATTGATAAACTGAAGAAAAAATTGGTGCTGGCAGAAATTGAACCCAGCACTTCCGGCGTTTCAAGCTGATATGCTCGCGTTTAGAGCAGTAGATCCATGTATTCGTACTGCAACAAATTGATTGCAACTGTAATAACTTTCCCCTTGCATTCCAGAGAGCACAAAATATTCTGTGAATGTTCTGACAACGTTCAAATATACTCATTTCAGAATATTCTGATAGAATGTTCTCAGATCGATCATAAAATATTTTTATCCTGCAACAACTATTCTATATTATTCTGGGAATATACAGAATCGTATCAAAATATGATATTGATGATATTCCTGTATCAATATTTATAATATTTCCCTGACAACCTATTATTCTTTCTAGCCTCAATGATAATTATCCTACTAATGAAGTGTTAACATATTATTCATCAAGGGTTTGTAGCGCAGTGAGAATGATGTCAGGTTTGTGAAATTTCAATCACAAGAGAGTAGGTTCGCATTTCCACTGAAGCAAATATTTCATTTTTTTTTCCTCTTCTATCATATACCAGTTATATTCTCAAAATATTTGAAGAAGTCCATTCTGAATGTTCATAAAACGTCCCTAGAATATTTATATCATATTGTGTGAAAATTCTGAGAATATCCAAAATATCCTCTGAGAATATCCTATGAACTTTCTATGAATGACGATGTGCTATCTGAGATATAAACATTCTAGACCATTTCATTCCAGAATCACCTAGGAATGTAATTTTAGAACTTTATGAGAAAATTATCAAGGAATTAATATATCCTGAATATTCACATCATTTTGAAAACATTATTTCATGAACATTCGGGTGTATTATATTTCAGTAGCTTTTATAAAATTGATAAAATATTTTCTTGAAACAATCCATGAACATCCGCAACATTCCGAGGATATTCTATAAATATTCCAATATTTTTTTAAATCTTCTACCAGAGGACATTTTCGCAGCTGGCAAGAATATTCTGTGTATATCCGTGCTATCTGGAAAACGTCCTTACAGTTCTTAATGCCTTATATAGATGAATATTATTGGCGTGTACTTACCTGGATAAGCATTCGAAATTGTAAGTCGGCATACCCCGTTTCTATAGTGCAAGTTATGATCCAAGGAGTTTTCTATGATTCTGCCATTTTTGGACCACAGAATACTAGGTGTTGGTTCCGATTGGACAATACATTCGAATTTGGCTGCTTGTCCACATACAACAGCTATATCACGAAGAGGCTGTAAGGAAAAAATTAAACCATCATGCATGTTGCAAAAATGAAAATGATCTTCGATGCCAGATATTTGAACATGGACTCTCAAGAATAATCAGATAATCATCTAATGATTCAGACTATTTTAACCCATCTTGAATTTCTCAGTCTGACCAATCACGAACCGAAGACCCTAGCTGTCTTTCTATTCTGAATGGTCGCGAACTTTTGATGCAAATCCATTTGATAAAATGTATTGTTGAAGAGATTGTATACTCCTAATCAATTGATCCTATGATGGAGAAAACATACCGTTATAAACATTGGGGCTCTGATTTGACCTTGACCAACTTTTCCATGGGTACTTCCTGGAGTGCTTGGACAACTAGGTGGAGTTTCAGCACCTTTTCTTCCAGAACCTGAAATGGAAACCTTATATTTCAGATGTCTTTCTACTTGCAGTAATTGAAAGCATCACTCTCTTTTCTATGCATTGATAATTACATCTCTAATTCTATTTCAATCACGTTGAACAATTCAAGTATGGACAACTATGCCTTTGATGAATGAGGTAGAATTCTTCTAGGGATAATATATCAAATAGGTAAGTAAGATTCAAGAAGAAGTTCGCAACAGTTCTCAATTGAACAGGCCAAACATTGTGGGTACATGAAAAATTATTGAAAGATCATGCAATTCTAATCAAGTAAGCTCTCAGCGTTTAATATCGACCATAGAGTGGTATCCAAAATTTGACGACCTCAACTCAGCAAGAGTAACTATGAGGATAATACTGAGATAACCGAGATCATTTGGTTGAGATTCATATAGTCAGTAACCCATTAGGTAGCTAACTTCCAGTTGTCGCTCAGGTCATATTTTGGAAAAGACATGCCCACCCTATTATTAAGTCGAGCCTCATGCAGCACACCAAGTACCTGCGAAAGTATTGTTAAAAGCTGGAGATGTGCTTGGCAAACTAGGTGACAGAGACACAGGACTACAGGAAGATGGATCCCATCTCGAACCTGGCAACAAATTATTCGTCTTTTTTGCTTCTCCTTCATACTCTGACATCTCGCTCTCAGAAGTGGGGTCCCACTTGGCGGATTTACTTCCGGGAGTAAATTTTTTTGGCTTGAATTTGGGAGTTGCGTTATGGTTAGTTGGCGCGGTTTTCTCATGGTAAACCGGCATTTCTATGTCAGAGGTTCGCTTCGGTGGCTCAATGATAGTTTTCTTTGGCACTGGTACTTCTTGCACTTGTTTACCTTCCCCAGGGAGTATAATGCCGAATTCGTAACCGAAGTCGTACTTGAAGTAGATTAGGCCTGTGTCAGGATCGACATGCTTTGTTCCTATAGAGAGATACAAGTTAATTCATCAAGCAATAGGAAGCTTTATTACCCAGCTACAAATGGAATGCTATAAATTTACATCGTTCCCAATTATTTCATTTCACCATCATTCCAAAAATACGATACTCACCATATTGTGCGGCTCTTGATTCTTCTCTGTATACCTGCGCATCTCCATCTATGCCATTTTTAGCTGGTTTCTGCGTCTTCTGTTTGCCAACGTCCTCCATGATATCAGTCACAAACTTCTGTGTCTTCGACTTGAAAGCATGAGTCATGCTATCCATGTGCTGCGAAGCTATCTTTGTCGCCGTTGATTTGATCCTATGGTCCGTAGCGTATCCGTATTCAGGAGGTGTTCCGGGATGTAGAACGGGCTCAAAGGAATGACTCCTCTTCATGATCTGGTTGGATTTGTTCTTGGTGAAACTGTTGTACATAGATTCGTGTCTGGTTTGTCCATCTGTGATATCGGTTATTGAAATCTTAGAAGGCATCGCAGGCGGTTGGGTGTCAAACTCTAATGGAGTGACTACACGTTCTTTTGGAGCGGGAACACTCGAAGATCTGCTGGCAGCTGGTGCTCTCACCTTCCTGTATCTGAGGCTTCCTGTTTCTGTTCCACCTGGGGTCCACTTTGGTTTTATTTTGGTACTTTCCACCTCACTTTCGTAATCGCTTTCTCTGAACTCGCCAGGTTGGAACTTACTTGGGGTTGGTGGTGGGGGAACACTCGTTGATCGTCTGGTCCTCTCAGGCTCCGGTTGGTAAGGAAAGGGTTCCAGCTTGGTCACTTGTTGCTTGTGCTGGTCACCGAATTTGATAACCTTGTGAGTTTGTTGTACGCTCATCGTGCGATGACACCTCTCTGTTGATTCGTCGAAATGAACGACATTGGAAGTCTCTGTTTGGATGGCGTTGGTGTATGGGGCACTAACTGTCGACTTGTAGTACTGGGTTTTTTTCGGTCCAGAAGCATATCTTATCTCTGGGGGAGATCCTGGTTGAAGGACGAATGGCTTCGCTATAATCGAATCTTTCGAAGCGGCTGAAATTGCTTTGGGTTTGTGGACAAACGGCTTGGATGCAGGTTTGACATCGTGCCTGAATTTTTCGATGGGTTCGAATTTTGGTCGAGGTGGACCTTCTAAGTGTGGGGGGTTATCGAACTCTGTGGGGGGAGTGGGAGTTTTTCCGTAATATTGAGTATGCTGTTGAGTTGGAGTTAGGTTAGGGTGAACTGGTCTGTAGGTTGGTTCTTCTGATGCCCATACTGAAGGAATACGACTCTCATAATCACTTTCATATTCGCTTTCACGAAATTCTCCTCGAACGAATTTTGAAGGGCTGGGAGGTGGTACGCAGACGGGCTTTCTGGGTTTTTCTGCATCAGCTTTGAAGGGAAAAGGCTCTACTTTGATGTGCTTGTCTCGTTGTTCTATAATTTGTTCGGATGTGTGTCTGGTTATTATTGGTGTTGCGATAAGTTCCTGAAAATAAACTGGTTTCAGGACAGGAGTTGAGATCAATCTATGTAGATCCAAACATTGTCAAACATACATAGCTGAGATGTTGATTGGGGTTGGTTCAGAAACTTATACAATGTTTAGGAATTTTATTTTTCAATTACAATTCTCATTAACATCTGCTTCAACAAACGTAGATAAATGCTATTATATTCACGACTGTTGTATGAAATATGCATGATACATGTACTTTCCCAAGCAAAACGATAGCCATTTTCCCACCAGTGAATAATAGCAGTGAATAACCATTATTCACTGGTCTAGAGTTCCTAGGGTACGCGATATAACAGTAGGTATCTTCAATTTCGATTTCCTTAATGTCAAATAAGTTGTGGCAAAACAGTTGTTAAAAATAAATTTATATATCGAAGGCAATAGTTGTCGTGAACAATAAATATTTGTTTCACAAGGCAGCAAAGTAGTGGATTTACTGCCGCGGCTGATAGTTCATAGCCGAACGTAGCGAGGCTAGGAATTCAGACGAGAGAGTCAATCTACATTAACGTCGTGTGAAACACATAATTTTTTCTCCAAATGTTATAAAACCAATTTTGTGCAATTTTTTTCATTGAGAACTTCATCATTTTGTGTTCACCCCCTCGGTTCAACAACAACAAATTCTTCCTGCCCAGACAGAGAAAGTACACCTTTCCTGTCTGTTAAGTGTGAGAGAAAAGCCACTCTCTATGCTGTTTGAATAAAAAATCATTCGCAGTGGCAGGAGCTCTATAATATGGATTACCGTCTTAAGTCGTGGAATTTCATTATTATAGATTGTTAGATTCAAAGTTTTGGCGAATACGCCGGGACAAATCTCGATTGTATTATGAATATTTTATACAACAGTCGTGGATAAAGTTTAGTGTTTTACTCGCATATAATGAACTATCATTCACTCAGATTGATTATGCTTCAACCTTCGTGGATGATAGCCCTCATTATATGCTTTGTTGAATAATATACTAATCTTTGATTAGTATACGATTCCCCCCAATGAACATTTCAATATCATTATCAGTGAATAGATCGGGTGCTTTAGAGCGAAATTGAATACATATTTATTTTACATATTATTGCTGAGAACGAAATGAATTTTGCGAAAAGTTAATGCAATAGAGTACAAGAACATGCTAAGGCAGATCAGTGTTTCAAAAATTTCAAGCTACACACACACACACACGAAGCGAACCTCTTTTGGTGAAGAAACGGATGAGGTAAATTTCCTGACTGGGAATTTGCAAACTCGTGGTTTATGTGTGGATATTTTCTGTGTTTCTACGTATTGTTCGCTCGATTTCGAAAACTGTTTATAGTCGGACCTTTGGTCTTCACTATATTCTGTCGTGATTAACTCCTGCTGCCTGAACGGTTCGTCAGTATCAGCCATGTAACCGTCTTGCACTATCTTATGCTTGACCTTAGGAGATTCAGGTTTTTTGACCTGTGGAATACACGCAGGAGTGACTGGCGGTGATATGGTGCGTTTCAAATCTCTAACATGTTTCGTCATTTTCTTAACCTCGGTTACTTTTTTGTTTCCTCTGAATTCCTCGAAATTTATTTCAGGTCTCGGAGGTCCTTCAAATCTTGGAGGCTTATCAAACTGAGAAGGAGGTAATGGTTCACATTCTTGAGAACGAGACCTACCTATGTGAGTCATTCTAGGAGCAGGCACTCGCCTATAACTGCTTTCTTCTGTATCACTCATGCACGGTTTCCACCTAGTTGGGATTCTTGCAGATTCAAAATCACTCTCGTAATCACTGTCAGTGAATTTTCCCTTGACAAATTTTGATGGTGTGGGTGGTGGCCCGACTTTTGTGTGTCTAGGTTTCTGAGTATCGGGCTTGAACGGGAAAGGTTCTAAATCTGGAAACTTCTGGAAGGGCGCTGACCTGACTTCGATAGTTTTCTTTGGAGGTTCAACATGCTTTATGGGTTTAGCAGGCAAAGGCGGTGCTTGTGGTAGGGCTTGCTTTGGCGGAAGGGGAGGGGGAATGACCCATTCCTGTGGAGGGGGTAGTGTTCTTACCACGCTCGGAGGTACTCTGGCTTGTTCCAAATGCTTCTCGCGCTCATAAGACTGGCATTTCTCTCTAGCTGGAGGTTGCGCGTAACCGATTTCTGGAGGCGGTCCAGGCTCTAGATATACTTCGTCGGTTATATCTTGCACTGATATCGGTCGAACAGGTAAAGACTCAAGGGTGGGAATGACTCTAGGTGGTTGTATAGGCTCGACATGAGTTGGAGGCCAAGACTTGATTATTTCTGAGGGCCGAACATTTCTCACTTCAATGATTTTCTCAGATTGTAGTGACTGACTGCTAGAAACAATCTCAGTAGATATATGCTTATTATCTATTATATTCCCCAGGTTGCTCACTTCAGCAATATAGTGTTGTTTTTGCACATCATCAACAAGGATTGGCTGTTCTCTCGTAATCTGTTCTGTTTTTTCTTCCGATGGAGTCCACTTTTTTTCGAGAGTGCTGTGAACCGACCATGAAGGTTGCATCTTGGGTTCTTCGTACTGAAGTGGTGGCCAGGACTTCTCGATATGCGATTCAGATAGCTTATGTGCCCACTGTTTTTCCATCAATAGCCCTTCTTGTGATGGTTCTGTACCAGATAAAACTGAATGTGGTCTACTATGAAATTGTCTCTCAGTAGTAGAATGCGTCGACGAGGTAGTTGATACTGGCCTATCGAATTCTATTTTAGGTGCATGTATAGTTTCTACATATGGCGTGGAACTTCCGAAAGTATGACTCTGGTATGAAGATGATGATTGTGATTGGAAGGAACTCTGTTCAAACGAATGTTCAGTTTGTCTTGTATAACCTTCTTTTTCCTTGATATGTTCTGTCTTTGGAGCAGAAGGAAATATTTTAACTGCACCTGTTGGTATCTCATGTAATGGTAACTCTTTCTGACATTCTGAAAGACGTTTGATCCTTTCTGCAACTTCATCCCGTTTCTTTACACCTTCTTGTTTTTTGGCGTAGCAGATTTCAGCTGGAGGTTCTCGCTGGAGATTGAAATCTTCTGTAACATGTTGAGTCGAAGCGAATGTTTGGTATTGCACTGGTGCTGCAGATTGCTGAATTGATGACGTTGATGTGTATCCATTTGTGACAGGTGTCGATGTCAATGCTTCTCGCACTTTCGATGGTTCAGGTTTCGGGGGAACTGGAGGTGCAATTTTCTGTTCAACCCTAATAGGTATTTCAATTTCCTTCTTGGGTTGCTCAATTGTCTCGAATTTTTTGTAAATTTCTGGTTTCAAAGGTTCTGGTATCGAAATCTCTTTAGGCACTGCTATCTCCTCATTATCACTACCTTTGATTTTTTGCACAAAGTATTGAAGGGAAGACTGCTTGGAGATTGAACTAGTTTCGATACCATCTTGCACATCTTCTGCGCTTTCTACGGTCACTTCGTTTTGAACTGTTAGTGGTTGATCACATATTTCGTATTCAGTTTCCTTCACCAAAATGTCTCTGGGAATAATTGGTTTGGGCATGGGTATTTCTGGAGCCGTATATTCGAGTCTCATTTTCTTCATTTCTTGTGATACTCGTTGTTCCTCGCTTGAAGTCATTTCTGATTTTGACGCAATGCTGTGGGTTGTTTGATCTGATAACAACGTTGACGATGGCATTTCCTTTTTCGTGATTTGCGCATGTAAAGGTTCAGATCGAGTAACACTAGATGATATTTTATCTGCCGCCGAAGTCTTATATCGAATAAGAGCGTGAAATAAAAAAATTGAGATATAGATAAACGTGGGATATTTTATTCAGAATACTCACCAATGTCTCATGTTTACGAACATCTTCGAATACCACTGTCTTAACAACTTCAACCATAGTATCTGGTGCTGGTTCGAAAACAGCAATATCGGCAATACTTTGGGCTTCACCTCCAGAGTTGACAGCTCTTACCATAAACCTACCAGTGAGATTCAACTCGGCTGCAAGAAACGAGAAAAAAATCTTCGAAAATATAATTCGATGAGCAATAAATAGAAATAATTTGACTGATTTTGAGATAATCACCTTTTTCGATAACCAAAGTATGACATTGACCCATAGTCTTTACTTTGTAACCATCTTTCAGAGAATCTTCAACCGGAACACCATCTCTAAACCACGTGACTGTTGGTTCTGGAGTACCAGTTACTTCAACTTCCATAATAACTCTATCACCTTTTTTGATCACTTGAGCTTGTAACCTCCTTCCAAAAACAGGTGGAAAGATAGTCTCTATAAAATAAATCGAAGCTTATAAATATGTGTTCACAATATTACTTAATATTAATTGATATAATATTTTTCTCACTACTAGCAATATATTTCAATCATCATAGTTCTGTGAAATTGAAATGTGGACTTATGTCACCATGAAAGCACTTCTTTTTTATTCTGATTTATTTTACTCAATACTCAATATATTTCATGTCATTATACATAGGTATTTACACTTTTCAAAACAGTCGTCAAAACAAAACATGATTAAAATCTAGTCGTTATGACAGCATATGACAAGTCGTTATTCTCATCGTTATTCTCATCGTTATTCTCATCGTTATTGATAGATACCAACTATATTCGAGTTTAAATTCGAGTACCATTCCTGTGAATATCGCATGAGAACAGTGAATCGTGATTATAACAGAGGTGGCTATGTCTTTATTGACTATAGTGGTTAATAATATGACGAAAACTACCTTGGTAGTAAAAACACACTTTACGCCTTCAAAGGGAATAGATAATGGTAGGTTCTATAGCTAGTGATAGAAAAACCTATTTATTTCGATATAAGTTTGTTTTTCTTTCTTCGAAAAATTCTGGACCACCTCAGTAAGAACGGATGGTTCATAGATCCTGATATGAATAAACTTACTTCTAACTACAAGATCCGCAGTACTGACTGCAGTGCCTCCTTCGTTTGTTGCAGTACACGAGTACCTTCCTGCGTCATCGGTTTTCACATTCTTGATTTCCACAGTGGCTTTGTTCAAACTCCAACTGATCTTTACTTTCTCACTTGGTTTCAGTTCGGCTCCGTTTCTAGTCCAAGTTACTTGCGGTGTCGGTTGTCCGTCCAGAATTCCTTCCAGCACAATATCTACATCTTGGTCAACTATTTTTCCTATCACCGGTGTGATGAACTTTGGAGGTCTAACCCTCAATGCAGGTTTATGGACAACTTGTTTCAGTTCTGATATAGGTACTTGTTTCTGGGTGCCTTGCATTTCACCAATAGTATAGGTGGAGGATGATTTCTCGTGGATGACAGGTGGTTCTTTACCAACTTTATGGAATTCTTCGATCCTGTGACTCTCCTTGATTTCTGGAGCTTCTTGGTTAACTTGCTTGAAAACTTGTTCATTCTGAGCAATGATTTTGTGCTCCTCCACGTGTGGCTCAGGAGCAGCCGAGCTGGATGAAATAATTTTGCTCGTCTGCGACGTTGAAGTCTGGGTAAGTACTTCTCTATTCATAATGTAAGATGATTCGATATGTTGCATTTTTTCAGTTCTCAGTGGAGTCAGTGGAGATATAAGGGGCATCTGCATAGTAGCTTGGAAGGGAGGCAAAACAGCAGCCTCAAATTCGGGTAGAGTAATGGAGGAAGGTGATTGCACTACTAGGGAAGCAGCACAGCTTGCCTTACCAATTTCGTTTTCTGCCACGCATGTTATCGTACCAGAATGTTCTCTCTTTAGATTGGGAATGGCCAACACTTGACGATCCCCCGAAGTTGATATCAAAAAATCTTTTCCTGAAATTGCATCTCCATTGTAGAGCCACTTGATCTTTGGGGTTGGTTTTCCAGTGACGATGCATTCGAATTTGGTATGTGTATCCAAGAATGCAGATCTGTCGTGAAAGACTTCTTTGAATTCAGGAGCTTGTTTGACTTCCTCATGTTTCACTGTTTCGGGAGGTTTCAGTGATTTGACTATGAGTTGTGCGAAGCACTTGACTTCACCTAATGAATTCGTCGCTTTAACTGTGTAAACACCCTTGTCATCAGGTCGAACATTGGCGATTTGGAGCTTCACATTCCCTTCATCATCGTGCGAGAAAGCGAAGTGTTCTGTATCTGTTATAGGTAAATTGTTCAGCAACCACTTGATTTCCGGTCTTGGCACCCCAGTTACACATCCTTCCAAAATAACTTTGTCGCCTTCCGAAATTAAAACATCGGCCAGCAGTTTCGAAAACTTTGGCGGTGTTCCAGTTGGCTCTGTTTTTTCTTCTTTTGGTTTTGCATCGACCTCAGATTCTGAAACTGGGATTACACTCAACATACACTGACTAGACGCTTCTCCCGCTGAATTGAGAGCAACAACCTTGTATTCGCCTGCGTCTTCTGGCAAAGCTTCCTGAATCACTAGAGAGCACCTATCTCCTTGAAACAGAAGTTGAAAATCTGTAGATTCTTTCACGGGTCTATCGTTATGGTACCAGATGACTTCTGGTTCAGGTTGTCCTACTATGACGCAATCCAGACGTATTCTGTTCCCTTCTTGAACACTTGTATTGGAAAGTGGTAGTTGGATGGACGGCTTTATCGGTTCCATATCGCTAGCCATTTCGGAATCAGAAGTTTCTGTAGGAAGACGACCTTTAACTGAAACACTACACGAGCTTGTGGCCTCTCCTGCGATGTTCTTTGCGCTTACTGAATAAGTACCAGCATCTTTGGGGAAGGCTTCGTATATTATCAAAGTCGCCTTGTTGTTTTCGAGTTGCAACTGAAAAATGCAAGCAAAACATAAGTATTTTTGTATCGGAAACGTGGGTTTGAGAATGTCAACTGCTATGAATAAATTCCCAATATATTTCAAATGTTAGATAGCCTGGTAGCATGCCAAGATTTAATTTAAAAAACAAGGAACAACAGAAATGTTGAGCCGCCCTACCTTATTTTCACGCGTTTCCTTCACTGGTTTGCCGTTGTGTGACCAAGATAAAACTGGTAGGGGTAATCCAGAAATTTCGCACTCCAATTTTATTTTTTGTCCTGCTCTGGCCATCACATTCGAAAGAGGTGAAATGAACATCGGTGACTCAGTAGGTTCCAATGCTGGAAATAATGAAAAATATACTGTTCACATTATTTATTCTACTACAGTTCCATATTATATTGTTTAAATGAGATGAGAACACATTAATAGTGAACTTTATTTTGAGTGATTCTTGAATTTGGAACAATTTGTTGGCTTCGATTCTATTTATTTTGTCCTATATTCGTGTCTAAATATATCTGCCTTGTTGTATGAATACTTTCGCTTACAGTTGCTGTTTTTAGAAGGATTCCATTTGATATTTTCACTACAATGGTAATATTGATTCAAAAATCATTGCACTATTATTCATAAATGAAAGTGATGAGCATCGAGTAGTTTCGTTATATTTATGGACACTATTCGATGATATTTTTTTGAGTATGTTCGTTTTCACTATGAGAAATTGAATTTCAGTAATATACTCACGAGTGACAACCAAATTTGCTGTGCTCTGAGCAATCCCCATTTGATTGCAAGCTTTGCAGGTATAATCTGCTTTATCTTCCAGGTAAACATGTTCAAACTTCAAAACAGCATCCCCGTTATTATAAGTGATAATATAGTCAGAAGAATTATCAATGCAAACAGTATCCTTGTACCACTGAACTGTTGGTAAAGGATTTCCTTCCACCCTACATTCGAACTGAAAAGTCGATCCTTCTCTTGCCGTTGAGGCTTCCAAATGTTTAACGAAAGTCGGTGCCAGAAGTACTTCCTGTGGTTCAGTTTCCTTGACTGTCAATAAAGCTGTTGTCTCATCTTGTCCACCTGCATTGGTGGCTCTGCAGGTGTATCTAGCTGAATCCTCAGCAAAAGTTTCTTCGATCGTCAACGAACATATTCCGTTTTCGAAATTTGTTCTATAATCCGGGTTATTTTGAATCGGTATACCTGCCTTATACCAGGTGATAGTGGGAGTAGGATAACCTGTTACCTGACAAATAAAAGTGAATTTTGAGCCTTCTTGAATCACTGCATTGCTTAGAGGAGAAGTGAACACAGGTTTCTCCAAAGCGTATTCTATTATTGGAATTGGGGATGGTATCCTTTTCGAAGCTGAAGTTTGTATCTCTATCCTTTGGACATCAGTTAATTCCGTTATTTCAACAGTATGTTTCTTATGTACCTTGGTACCTGTTTCCAATGTGATTGGCTCAGCTTTCTGCTTTTCTTCTAGGATTCTAGCCTCCGCTGCCCTCTCCAATTCTTCATATCGAATTTTTTTCGCCTCCTGTTGTCTTACCAATTCTGCTTTCTGTTGTTCTAACCTCGCCTGTTCAGCTCTTCTATTCTCTTCAAGAATCCTATTCTCTTCTGCTCTTCTCATGTCTTCCAATCGAATTCTTTCTGCCTCTTGCTGTCTTCTCAGTTCTGAAATTCTTGCTTCTTCTTCTAATCTGGTCTGCTCTAGCCTCTGTGCGTCTAATCTTGCTTGCTCAGCATTACGCTTTTCATCCAGAATCCTAGCTTCTTCTGCTTTTCTCAATTCTTCTAATCGTACCCTCTCTGCTTCTTGTTGTCTTCTGAGTTCTTCAATTCTGCCTTCTTCTACTATTCTTGCCTGCTCTGCTTTCTGTGCTTCCAACCTTGCTTGCTCAGCTTTTCGTTTTTCGTCAAGAATTCTAATCTCTTCCGCCTGTCTCAATTCCTCTAATCTAACTCTCTCGGTCTCCTGTTGCCTTCTGAGTTCTGCAATTCTAGCTTCTTCTTCCAATCTTGCCTTCTCAGCTCTTTGCGCTTCTAACTTAGCTTGCTCAGCTTTCCGCTTTTCATCAAGAATCCTAGCATTTTCGGCAACCCTTAATTCTTCGAGTCGTTTTTTTTCTGCTTCTTGTAGTCTTCTTAGTTCTTCAATTCTAGCTTCTTCTGCCAATCTTGCCTCTTCTGCTTTTTGTGCTTCTAGCTTCGCTTCTTCAGCCCTTTGTTTTCCTTCTAGGATCTTGGCCTCTTCTAATTTACTAAGTTGTTCGAGTCGCATCCTTTCTGCTTCTTGTTGTCTCCTCAGTTCTGCGATTCTAGATTCCTCTGCTAATCTCATTCTTTCTGCTCTTTGTGCTTCCTCCGCTCTTCGAGCATCTTCAGCTCTTCTATATTTCTCGGCACGTTCAGCCTCTTCAGCTCTTCTTGCTTCTTCATGTCGCCTTTCATTCTCTATTCTAGTCGCTTCAACTAATTTGGTTTCCTCTAACATTCTTCGTTCTTCCTCAAGTTTCCTTCTTTCTTCAGCTAATCTTGCTTCTTCAGCTAATCTAATTTCTTCAGCCTTCTGTCTATCTTCTGCTTGTCTTGCTTGTTCGGCTAATCGAGCTTCAGCAGCCAGCCTTCTTTCTTCTTCTAACCTGAGTTCCTCTTTCCTAATTCTCTCTTTCGCCAACCTAGTTTCTTCTGCAAAACGTGCTTCTTCCGCCATTCTTCTCTCATTTAATAATCTTGCTTCTTCTGCCTTCCTGGCTTCTTCTGAAATTCTAATTTCTTCCGCAAGTCTTGCTTCTTCTAATTTCTTCGCTTCTGCGGCTAGGAGTGCTTGTTTTCTGTCTCGCTCTAATCTGATCCTTTCTTCTTCTGCAGCTCTGAGATTTTCTGCGAGAGTTTTCAGTTCTTTTGTGATTGCAGAGAACGATTCAATCATCTCATTGTTGCCATGAAGAAGAGGTGCATGCTTTGTTTGTTCTGGACCATACAGTTTTCTGGCCAATTCGGAAATTTTCTCCATTCGCACGTTCTGAATTTCTTCTCCAGGCTTCAAGAAGTCTGATATTTCTTTCAACAATTTTTCAGCCTCGTCAGGAGATTTGACTGTGGTTGATTTACGAGCTATAGTAACTAGCAGTTTGCTTCCTTCTCGAAACCATTCATCAGCCTGAAATAAAAAGTTGGTGATTCATAAATTTCAACATCTAGTGAAAATACTTGGGAAGAAAGAACTCACCTTCTCCACTTGTTCGAAATAAGGAATACTCAAGTTGATTAGGCTACGAGTGGCTTCAACTTGATTCTTCAAACTGGTCCATCTATCCCGAAGATCAGTAAGCTCACTATGTATCTGAGAGGATTGGGTATGACGTTCGGCCAATAATTTATCTCCTGTTTGGTTGATTGCCGATACACGGGGCTCCAATCCCTGAAATTCAATTTACTTCTCTACTGGTCTTTCAAATGATAATAAGACATATACCTTGATGCTGTTCTCAATATAGTCGAAAGATTGAGAAGTGGCTTTGGCATTTGCTGAAGATTCTCCATACTGTCCTTGCAGATTCTTGATCTGTCGGTTGAGGTCATCAATACTTTCGTTGACTTGATGAAGGTTATTGTCGAATATACAGAACTGCCTATGCGATTCGAGAGAATCGTGTCTTTGTCTCCACTGGTTCTCAAATTCACCCCTTCGTAGCTCAAGAACATGCTGCAATTTATTAGTGTCTTCTTCTGCTGCATTTTCTGGTTCCTAAAATGTCTCAGTTTATCATACATATCGAGTGCCTATTTGGAGAGTAACTAACCTGTTTTGTTATCCTATCTGCTATTTGATCACATTCAGTTTGTGCGAATCTCAACCTTTCTATTATAGTTTGTCTGCAGGATTCATGCTCCCTGATCAGAGATTCCACTGAAGATACATCCTTGGGGTAGTCAGTTTTTTCTAACCTGGCATTGAAGTTCTCAGCTTTCTTATCTATATCTTCTAGAGTTCTGAAGTAACCGATTAGGACTTGTAACAAGATTTGGTAGTCGGAACATTTTTCTGTCAGCCTTTGGTTGAGGTCATGGAGAGTATTTTTGATGTTGGTGGTTTTTTCATCTGCAGTCGAAGCTTTAAGTATAAGGGATTCCGCAGTTCTGAGTTTCTGCGCAACTTCCGCCTGAGCTTTCTTGAGGTCTGGGACGATAGAGGCTAGCTTGTTTTCCAAGTAGTTGGCGATCTCTCCAGGTCGAGTACTACTCGTCGTTATCACGGGATATAACTGGCTGTCCAATTTTGACACCCAATTGATGGTCTGAAAATAATTCAGAATTACTAACTGATGATATCTAGATATTAGGCATACATCGATAAAATCCTCTGAGATACAGTATGAATATATCATATCGATTCGTAGGCAATGAAATTTACTACAAAAAGTCAGTGACATCATATACCCACAACATAAAGGTTTAGCATGGGGACCGTCTAAACTTTTTGAACTAGGTAGTCTGTAATAATCATCTGGATCATCATTCTACTTGGATTGAATTATCGGTTCGTTGTTGGCTCTTGGGAATTTAAAGAAAAGTTACAGTCAATCTAGATACTATGAGAAGCCTTTGCATGATTGACTCATTTCTGTGAATTGAATATTGAAATTCTAGCAGCTTTTTAAAAAGAACGACAATTCTGTATGTAGTCAATTCATCTTGATATTTCTTGAATTTTTCATCGTAAATCAGTGAATAGTGATTCATCTCTTGAAATAGTCTAGTCTCTACATATTTGTTTTCTTGAAATTTTTTGATAACTGTTACCGTTTTCCCGTGGTACATAAACGAAAGCGATGCTCCGGCCCGGTGAGATAGAGTAGACCCTTAGAGTAGGCCCTGGCTAAACGCTGAGAACTGATAAGACAACGCCCACAATCCTGTGTGTCATGTTTACTCCAGCAAATCTCCTCTAGTGTGAATAATATCATTAACACAAACTCATCATATGAAATGAGTGCAACATATAATAGGAACAATTTCAAGACAATGGATTTTGTATTGCTAATTTAGGTTATTTTCAATACATAATTGAGAATTGATGAATTATTAGATATATAATATTTCTGAAGTTTCCATTCGTATCTCAACATATGGCAAGTGTGCTATGGTCTCGTAACGTCAGCTTTTATTTGCGGTAAATTTCTAGCCATTTGGAAATTATCGTGGCAATATTGATGATTTTAGCACCTTAAAATCGATCGAAAAGAATCTTTAAACATATGGAATTGAAAAGTAACTGAGTAATGATTCTATTTAAGGAATAAAAAAGATAGTCCACTCGCCTATTCTTTGTATATCACTAATAAGAAACTTAGAATTTTGGAATTGTATACATCTCTACATAGATCTATGATTTCTACTTGACCACTCTGTCAACACTGCAAAAACTAAAATAATGTCCTTTTCAAGGGGAGGTTTTTAACCAAGCGGGTACGGATTTCATTTCAATAATGAACCCGTTTCGATAGTGAATACATACCTTTATCTTGGCGTGACATTCACATCTTTTTGTTTATTTCGCGAGATGGCCACAGTAGCTGCAGATGAAGCAAAACAAGCCGTAGGTGCAATTATGTGTAAAGCCAAGATTGATAACGTAGTTCCCTCGCGTAATAGTATATTACATAACAAGAGTTGTAAAACGCATATTACGCACGAAGTGGAGAGAGTTACACACGATGCCGCATAGCGGCGAGTGTGTAACTCCACAAGTGCGTAATTGCTTTACAACTCGAGAATTGTACTATACTTTTCCTACGACTACACTATATTTTCTTCCGGATAGTGCAAATATTGTATTAAGGCACAAATAACGAATACCAATATAAAACGTCTCCCGTCACTAAGCCAGCTGCATGAAAAGTTACAAATCACAATCCTTGTGTTTGTTTATTGATACATTGCATACCGAGACATTTTCCTCAATTCGAACTGAAATGGAACCGTTTTTCATATCTAAACAGCTTTATTAATAGGTAGCCAAAAACACATTGTATAAAAATATAAAATTAACATTCATAATGGTTATTTATTTGTAACAGTGCAGCACGAGTGATTCTGTATTCGTTATTGAAAAAAAATAAAAAAAAGTTCTCCAGCTGCGCCCTGAACCACCGACCCTTTGGCTCGGAGCCAGCGCTTCTAACAACTGAGCTATCACCATTTCTGCGTATTAGTAGATATTTTATAAATATAATTTCAAAGTTGGATCTTTCTTAATTATTCCTGTTATTTAAAGAAAAAGGAATTCATCAATTCAATGTTGGGTATGTATGTTATTTGAAAAATTACCTTCAACAGGCGCATTCTGCAGAAAGTAATTGATCTGTTCAGCATTAAGTATTTTTGATTTTTTACTTCGGAATCCATCCTTTCCTTTTGAGGAAATGGGATATGTTGCTATATTAATATTGTGATTGATATTTAGTGTTGATCGTAACATGGAATATATCGACCAGAATGATGATAATTTCATGAAATTTGGTTATTCTTGAAAATATTCTGAAAGGATATTTTCCGAAAATGACACGCTATAATTTCTAATTCTTCAGTCCAGGAATTTTTTATGTGCTATTTCGTATCATTTACGAGACTTAGCGGGTGGCAACTCATTTTTTACCATTCTAGCTTTTTCCAACATTTCTGGTGGTGTAGAAATAATCTGCTCATCGTCATCGCTTGACATCATTTTTTTGAACTGAAATTGTGGATTCTCAATAGAAAATGATCATATTTTCAAAAAATATAACTCTCCTGATGCTTTCGGTTTCGGTGGATTGCTGAATTGATTGATAAAAAGATAAGTACCTACGTACCTACCCACCTAGCTAGTGACATTAAAGAAATTGTTAATTGTTATTGACACATCGCCTAGGCGGCCTAAGCAACAAAACAAAGTCATCTATCAACATACCTATGAAAACCGTGCGATCGCTCTCTTTACGCACACGTGTGTAAGGAGAAGCTTACTGCCATTGTTTTGTGTACAATATCCATCACTTACAGTAGTAGTCGTAGGAAAAATTATTTGAATCTCTCGCACTGAGTACTTTATCGAACTGTTTGCCTGTTTGGGGATTAAGATACTTAGACATCTTAGAAAGAGTCCAAGTGATGTTCTTCAAAAAAATACTGCTTGTTCATACTAATTCTCCAGATTATGTGATCCGATTGGAAACTGGCAGAGTGAAATATGCCTATAATGTCTTTAAAATGTCATTGAACTGGTTACAAAAAGTCCTCAGTATGGATGATGACCGACTATCAGAAATTTCTTTGAGACAGCAAATTGTTTCGCTGGGTACTATTGATGAAAAGTTCGCTGGGCCAGTCAATTGCAGAAGTGTTTTAGTTTTGCTGAAGCTGGGGACTTGTGGGATGAAGCTGTACTTCATAGCAGAATAAGGAAAAATATTATTTTAGAAAAATATTATGACAAACATTTCGAAGCCGATATATCATTGCTTCAAAGAAGCACCTTTTTGCCACTTTACAACAACTCTATCCTTTCCAAGGAGCCCAAATATTACTTGCTTTATCAACTTCTGATACAGGTCACTCGTACTATAGCTCAGTTGCGTTTGAGTAATACTATCAAGATGAAATTGACGTTACATGGCTTGTCTCACTTGATTGACCCCAATCAAATATGCTCAGTTTGCAATCACCATGATGATGAAACCGTTCGTCACATTTTGTTAGAATGCCCAATTTATGCAAGTATGAAGCCTCACTGTGAACCTCTTACGTCTTGGGACTCCCTTCTCTCGTCCTTGGACAGTCTGTCAAGAAAGGATTTGAGATCATAGCTAACTATACAGTGTCTTTCAAAAGTATCGGAACGGTCTCATATTTCAGGAACGGCTTGAGAAAAATTCACGAAATTTTCTACAGGGTGATTATTGATGATGTCCGATTCAATGGTAGCATCGGCAATGTTGCCAAACTTACAGTTTTTCAGATATTAGGAGTAACTTTATTTTTTCAAATGGAATACCCCATTCATTTTTATTGCAATTAATTAAGCGCCTTCTAATTACTTGAGTCCCTGAATATCAGATTCGTAATTAACGTGATTTTTGAAATATGACAACATAACATTTTCGTTAAAAAGTTCTGGTACGGTCCCATATTTCAAAAACGGCTCAGAGAAAATTTATGAAAACTTCGACAGGATGGTTGTTGATGATGCCCGATCCAATGGTGATATCGGCAATGTTGCCAAATCAACAGTTTTTCAGATATTGAGGGTAACTCAATTTTTTCAAATGGGATACCCTATTTGTTTTCATTGCAATACATTCAGCGACGCCTCATTACTTATGTCTCCAAATATCAGATTTTGAATTGAAGTGGTTTTTGAAATATGACAACATGGCATTTTCGTTCAAAAGTCTGGGAACCTTCTAATATTTTCAATACGGTTCAAGGAAAATTCATGGAATTTTATACAAGATGGTCTCTGATGATGCCCGATTCAATGGTGATATCGGCAATGTTGCCAAATCAACAGTTTTTCAGATATTGAGGGTAACTCAATTTTTTCAAATAGAATACCCTATTTGTTTTCATTGTAATACATTCAGAGACGCCTCATTACTTATGTCTCCAAATATCAGATTTCAAATTGAAGTGGTTTTCGAAATATGACAACATGAATTTTCCTTGAACCGTATTGAAAATATTAGAAGGTTCCCAGACTTTTGAACGAAAATGCCATGTTGTCATATTTCGAAAACCAGTTCAATTTAAAATCTGATATTTGGAGACATAAGTGATGAGGCGTCGCTGAATGTATTGCAATGAAAACAAATAGGGTATTCCATTTGAAAAAATAAAGTGACTCCTAATATCTGAAAAACTGTGAACTTGGTAACATTGCCGATGCCACCATTGAATCGGACATCATCAATAATCACCTTGTAGAAAATTTCGTGAATTTTTCTCAAGCCGTTCCTGAAATATGAGACCGTTCCGATACTTTTGAAAGACACTGTATATGGGATATTCTTGAACTCAGGTCATTTATCTCGAATGAATAGGTAGGAATAGGAATGCTTCAACTCACTCTTATTTATTCCCATTTTTTCCTCTATTTTAGTATTATTTTTTACTCCCCCTCAGATTGATAGTCACAAATTCAGTCTATATCTGACCCTTGCTGTAGAACTATGTTTTCAAAAGCTATAAAGATATTATTATTATTATTTTAGTTCATATAATTCCAGTCACGACCCTGCGGCCTCCGACGTCACGCAAAGTTGTGCTGGATAAAATCCAGTGACTACTCCTCACAGCCTGTGAGGAGTAGTCACTGTATTATTATTATTATTATTATTATTATTATTATTATTATTCATTTAAGTTCATGTAATTCCAGTCACGACCCTGCGGCCTCCAACGTCACGCAGAGTCGTGCTGGATAAAATCCAGTGACTACTCCTCACAGCCTGTGAGGTGAGTAATCACTGGGACCAAGTACCGTGTGCCCTGAGTAGACGCAATGATCCAAGTATTATTATTATTATTATTATTATTATTATTATTATTATTATTATTATTATTATTATTATTATTATTATTATTATTATTATTATTATTATTATTATTATTATTGATTCGTTAAAGGTTATTGGAAAATCTGACCTTCACGCTCTCTGTCATGGTCTGCTCGAGCTTCACCAGCACCTCTTTCTTCTCCGTCACCTCAGTGTGGAAGGTCTGCCAGTTCTTGGTCACTACAAGCTGTCTTCCAGCCAGTCGTTCCAGCACGGATTCCACACACAATCGGGCGCGTTTTGTATCGAGATGTGGCTCGGATACCTTCAGGATAAAATTAGAATAAAAGGGACAGTCACATGGGCGTAGCCAGGGGAAATATCAAAGGCAGTGTTCCTCGCGATAGGTGATATTTACACAGGGTGTATCTAAATAACACCGAAAAAATCTCGGAAAAATTTCAAGAGGTGATTCCTTGTGATATTTTCGGAAATAAAGTTTATTTAAATATGTGTCCTAAATATCTTCGTTTTCAAGATACAGGGTATGAATTTTGTCATGGAAAATCTTTTTTCTATTCATTCCTCAATTGTCCTTTCATCAATTTCAATAAAACGTTGTGGTCTTGTTTCTAGTAATATAGAGTTTCTTCAAGTGGAATTAGATTCGTGACTATTCCACTCTTGATCTCGAGAACCAATCAGAATCGACCATTTTCACGGTTTCTTTTGTATTCTAGCGATATTTTTTGTTTATTAAATTTTATCGGACTTGCTCTACCAATACAGAAGCCGAATTGACCCACACGTGACCAACTAACCTCGTTTATCAGCGATAAAATTTTGACATCGTGTCTGGTCAAGATTGCTTTGTATTCAAATCTGACACAAGAGACGATAACCTAAGTACCTACTTCATTTTATTTACTTATAATTCGCGTTAGTGAGACATTTTGTACGAAAGGCGAGACAATTTCATTCTGGCTGGACGTTTCATGTGTAATTTAATAAGTTTGCATATTTGTTGACGGTCTGACAACAATACTAGAATTCAAATTCCCATTTGAAGTCACTCAAGTTATTGTGACCAATAAAATCCAGGTGATGTGGCTCAACTGATAGGGTTGTTGCGCGGTGATACGAAGATCGGTGGTTCAAGCCCGTCGGCTTTCATGTCACATAAATTCAATTCATTTTGTTCAAATTGGATAGCAAATGTATACACTCTTTTGAGAGCAACCATCTCCAAGATAATAAACAAAATACTGTTCATCAAAATTGTACATTCCACTTTGTGAATTACTATAAGTAGATAGTTAATTTCTAAAAAATTTCTGTAATTCTGTATTTCATTACTATCATTATGTTCTTCTTCGCAGTTTGAGTTGGAATATACTTAAATTATGTTTCCTATTTCTTATATATATTGTCTCATTCAATCATGAAATAGTCATACGAATACAACTCGTGATACTATTTTTCCTGGAAATATTCGTCGATTGACATACTCCAGCTTGCTGCTCTAACTTCGCTCATGACATTGATCCGAAACTACTCGCCTACGGCTCGTAGTTTTGATAACAATGTCATTCACGAAATTACTAGGCAACAAGCTGTCGTAACAATCACCGAATATTTCCGGCAAAATATAATCACTTGTGGTATTATATATGGTAATATTGCCAGTGGCGGCACAGTGGGTAAATTTATCGATATTTATGGTCAATGTAATTGTACGCCACTGGTTTTTGTGAGTTTCATATTTTTATTAGATTGAACTATTGAAATAACAAATTGTTCATCCTCTGTGTGATTTCTGTATCTAGCTTATTATTTGAGGAAACAATAAAAATTCGATTCGACTACAAAGTTTTATTTAGGTGTTTTCAAGACTTCCATTGAGATTACTTAATAACTCCAATTAGAATCATTTTGAAATTTTGGGGCTTTCTCAGTCACTATCCATACCGAACTTTGGCACCATCAAACCTCATACAGGGGGGTTATAAATAAAAACAAATAATACTACCAACTTCAACATCCTGTATTTCAAAAACAGAGCAAGTTAAGACACATGTTTATGTGAACTTCATTTGTCACAAGGAAACACCCTGCCCATTGAGGATATTTTAAAGATGGCGGCACTTCCGATTATATACCGGAAGTGGACATCAACTTCGTTACTTTGAAGAGGATTGGACATCAACTTCGTTACTTTGAAGAGGATTGGACGTTACTTGGAATAAAAAGCTATAATATATTTCATCAATCGTCCTTTTACCTAGGTCTAGCTGATTTCGAAATATGCACTTATTGAATTTTCTTCAGTTTGTACCTTCCTCTTTGAGAATCGATTAGTCACTATGTCATATTCGAATGAATTGAGATCATTTTCAAGAGTCAGTAAGGAGAAGAATTGGCCTTTTTCTAGGAATATTCATGATTTGGGAAAAACGATTAGAAATGGTTGGAATTCAGGCAAACGGTTGGGAAAGTTCGGGTACCCATAAATAACTCACATATTTTCTTTCAGAGGGGCAACCAATTATTCTCTTTTATTAAATTGAGGAAATTTTGCATCGATCTTTATCGATGTTACCTAAGCCCATGTCTTATAGTTTTCGAATTATGATGATTATAATGACTAATGATTCTTTTTTCCGATATTGGGGGAAATTCATCACTAGCCTGAAAGAAGCAAATACTGTGTTTGTGTAGTTTACCATTGAAATAAAAAATGCTTTTATTGAATAAGTTTGTTTATATCAGATTATTATTATTATTTAACGTTACTAAAATCAGAATTTGATGAATGCAATTCGAATTTCTAGAGAATGTAGCAGAATAGTGAACAGAATTTGCCGTTTATTGTACAAGAAAAATTCTCAGTTGCAATTTGCAAATCTCAAATACCCTCAATGCTACGAACGTTCCAAAAATTTGGCAGAATTATTGTGTTGAGTAAAACAAGAGAGTTTCAAAGAACTGTTTTTCCAGAAATCAACTTTTCTTGCAATAACTGGTAATCAATTACTATTATTGCCAAAACATATCATTATGTTAATTTACAAATCTCGACTACCTACTATTTGAAATTGTGAAATCTGCCGAACGCGCAGCGTACAGGCAATTGCAATTCGAGAATTTACAACCGATCAAGTCTATTTATATCATGTCTTCGGGAAAATAGCAAGTGTTGAGGATAAATCAAATATCAGAAATAGCTTCGCCTGGAATAGTGATCTACAGAATAGGACTCGACTAGGACAAGTATAGACCCCTAATAATAGCGTGTATGCTTGATAATTATCATGGAATCGGGTTTCAAAGACTAAAACTGGCGAAATTAATAAAAAGGGGTATATTCTGTTATCTCAGTGTTTGTCTCATCAGACTTAGGGAAATTAATTCCAGTCGCCAATATTGCAGATCGATGCAGAAAAATTTCGATATTTCATGGACATAATATGATTTTTCAGGCAGGATACGATTGCAGCACCTTTATATTGAGAATGGAGTCCATCAGGATCCTTCCAAATACTACAAAATGTACGGAATTTTCCTGGACAGAGTCAGAAAAACATTTTCTTGTGTTTTTGGATAACGAAGGAAAATACCTCACCAAAAGCGAGTCAGTACTGTTTCGGTCTGATATGCCCCATCAGCCGCTCTCGGTCTGCTGAGTCACTGATATGATATTTCAGAGTCTTATAGTTGATTGAGTTCTCATCATTTTCGGTTCGAATTATTGACCAAGTTTTGATTCCACAAGTTTTGAAATCCTTCAATACATAAGTTAAACCAGTTTCCAGTTCTTGACATGAAAGAGTTTTCGTTTGGGATCCAAAACTTAATTGGAGACGAAGTGATACAAAATGACGCATGTTTTATATCCACAATAGTTATTTATGTATCAAGGGCGTAAAGTAGGTGTTTATGGCCTGTGGCGTGAATAATGGCCCGATGGCACTAGCCGAGGGCCATTACACGCTGAAGGCCATAAACGCATTTCACGCACGTGATACATACAAAATTTTATGCACTAGTGGTTTATTTTCTGACTCAAAAGTAATGACTATAGATTTGGATGAACTAATACTCCTCCGAATTTGATTTGTTACGTATAAATTCTGTAATCAAGAGAAGCGTAGTGTTCATGGATGATTTACATATGGAAATCATCGTACGGATATTGCAATTATCGTAATAGTAAAACTCTTTGATCTCTAGAAGAGGTTCATTCTTCAGAATTTTACAATATGCATACCCAGTATACCTACCTAATTTTGACGATGTCAAGCTAGCTGATAGTTGAAATTATATAGGTATTTAAATACTGTATGAAGGTTAATCGAGGAGGTGCAATGTTCAACTCACGAGGAGAGCAAATTCCGAAAAATCTAGGAAAATGATCATAGGATTTTCATGAATTGATATGTGGATATAAGGAAACAGAGAACAGCGGGCGGTAAAGTGCAACTTAACGCCCGCAAAACCGGGCCGTAAAGTGCACTTTACGGCCCGCTAGTGCAAAAAATATTATTATATCCTCAATCTATAGTGCGAGATTTTGTACGGTCAACTCGGATTATAGTTCAGGATCCGGTTGCAAATTCGGACCGTCATCTGATAACGAAATGATATACAGGGTCGCTCTCAAAGTAAGATAGCTAACGAAAAATATTGAAATACAAAAGTTCAAGGGTTTTTCAAAATCTACCACACTAAATATTTATTTATTTATTTATTTATTTATTGAACAAATAACTTCCAGACAGAATAGGCTCTGGTATAAGGAAGTACATAATTATATACCTATAGGTAAACATAGTATCATTCAAAATATATCAACAACTGTAAATTGGCAAACGAAGAATAATATTTGTGAAAAAAAAATGGCATGATTAATTTTATCCAGTCCGCTGAGAAATAATCAGTTTTTTTACTTTATTTTTGAATATACCTATATTTCTGCAATTTTTTATATTATCAGGTAGTTTATTGAATTCAGTTAAGGCTGAATGAGTGAATCTTTTTTGTCCGATTAGGGAGCTAGCGGCGTCAAGATGGAACAAGTTACATTGTCTAGTTTCATGATTATGAATTTCAGAATTCCGTATCAAAATAATATTCGACTTCAATTTTTTATTTATGATATTATATGATATTTTGAGAGTTTCAATTCTATATATTTCATCTAAAGAATACGTATTTGTTATTTCATACAATTGATTGGTTGGTGTATCAAATGGGAGACGATACAATACTTTTAACGATTTTCTATATAATGTTGATATTTTATTGAAATTATTTTTTGAACAAGATCCCCAAACATTTATTAAATAGAACTTATGTACAGGATTAGTCAGAAAGTCTTCAGGAAATAAAGTTGCTTTTTCTTTAATGATACACCCTATATATCATTCCATATTATAATTATTCTTCTCAAAGTCTTGAACAAAACTGATATATTGGAAATGAGTTTCTGATAAACTATGCAATATTGTTGTAGTCCATTAAGTTCATAGTCCATCAAGTTACCTTTGAAAGATTTCAGCTCCATAACAACGCCGCGTCGTTTTTTTGTTGTACATTCAGTGTAAATAATTTTCGCGCGAACGTTTAACTGATACTGAGCGTATTGACATTTCAATGATCGAAGGATACGGTGATAGAAGACGAAGTCCAAGTGGTGGATATTTTCAATCATATCCACATACTTCACCTTGTGGTATTATTTTATCTCAATTTTGTTCAGAATTTCGAGCAGAATTGAAACATGTAATAATATATAAGGTGTTCTTAAAGCAACTTTATTTGTTCAAGACTTTTTGACTAATGCTGTTTACTAAATTTCTATTTAGTTTAGTAGATTTTGATGAACCCTAAAACTTTTTCATTCTAATATTTTTCGCTAGCTATCTTACTTCAAGAGATAATCGAACGTTTCCATACATATCAGCGACCCTGTATGTCCCAAAGGCATGTAAATACATTCAATTTCATCGAACGGCACGTGTGCTAATCACTTTCCGGAGTAAAATGATTGAAGAAACGCACTTTCCTGTGCGGTTATTTGCAGTAAATTTCGCCATTTGATAATGAGATAAAAATTATGCCATTCGATACCAGTTTGATGGTATATCTCAAAAACCTACCTTTGCTCCTCTCAATCTGAACGGAAACAACGGCACAGGAATTCATTGGCTGCTATTATTCCGAACATACTTCCGTCATCTGATGAAGAGTCGAAACATAAAGCAAATTAAAGGGGATGATGTCCCGTTTGCGATTATCCAAACGAGCCGCGATTCAATCTGATCTAAGTTAGTGGCCGAGCGTCAATATTTTCGAGAATATTTTGACCGTCTCTGAAGATCACATGACGGAAGTATGTCTGGACAGCAAATAAACCGATGTGCGGTGGATTTGACTCAAATTGAGAGGTGGCACAGGTAGGTTCAAGAGATATACCATCAAATTGGTATCAGATATCATGATTCTTATCTCGTCATCAAATCGCGAAATTGAATGCAAATTACCGCACAGGAAAGTTCCATTTTGCAACTATTTTGCTAGTGATTGGTATAGGTGCCGTTCGATAATAATGTATTACGTGCTTTCGGAACATGTAACATTTTGTTATCAGGAAATGAGCAGCCGATTCTCCTTTATCACTAGTAAGTTGATCGCATAATCATCAATTGAATCAGATGGAGTTACATAATCGTCTCAAATTCCATGGTTAACAGATACGTACCGATAACAAAAGTTTCTTAAGGATATTCCTAATGTGATACGATATGATAAAACAAAATAATAATTTTGCTTCAACATAATGTACACCATGATGATAATGTTACAAACTCACCATTTTCGATTGATTGATGAAAGTAATACCAGTATTTTTCGCGCACTGGTATAGAGGAACTATCGATTCGAACTTCTCTTCAATGTTCCTCAGCACTTGTTCATCAACATTATCCTTATTCTGCAGCAGAACATCGTCCAGTTTATCCATTTCTTTGTTGACAATGTCAGCCTCCATGTGGAACTTGACGTATATCCTGGAAAGTTCCATGCGACTTTCAAGAATGTTCTTCAGGTTCATCCACCGTTCATGCAGTTGTTCAACTTTTGTGTCGATATCCCTACGTTGATTGTCTTCCAAGTATTCTAGTATTGGGGGCAAGGTTAGCAGCAAGGCATTAATTTCGTTTCCTTTCGTCTGAAAATAAAGATTCACTGTTATTGGTACTGGTAGTAGTGGGGTCCCAGCGAGCACAAACATCCCTGGGATGTTTTGAAAATGTTGGCATGAAGATGTTATTTTGAGACGTGATATGCACTGACCAAAGAGGTCTGTGGAGGATATTGAAGTATTGTTTTTGGGGTTCTGTGGCATTTCTCTGTTTGCCTACTGAGAGGTATCCCTGGGATGTTTTGGGATGTTTGAGAAATGTAGGCATGAGGATGTTTTTTGAGGCGTAATGTGCACTTCCCAAAGAGGTCTTAGAAGGATATTGAAAGTATTGTTTTTGTTCTTTTGTGCCCTTTCTTTGTTTGTCCCACCACAACGTCTCATGCCTACGTCACAATACGATGAATTCTGATTTGTTTTCGATTTTGTTCTGCTTGTTCGCAATTGGCATTCGCGTTTGCAGCGTGTCACGCTTACATCACGCTGCTAACGAACAGAAAGGAATTTGGTGAAGTTTATTATGTTAGAAGACTTATTTAGTTTGTAATAATGACCATCAGATGCAAGATGTGTTGTTCGGTGCCTCAGTGTAATCAATATATAAAAGTACGAATTTATCAATACACAGCTTCTCCGCAGTTGCAAAATTATGCATTGTGGAGAACATTTCAAAAATTGGGAAACCTATTTCCAATCATATGTCTGTGTGTAGTAAGCACTACTCAGAAACCGATAAAGTAGGTAATTTCATATCAAGAAAATATTCTGATGTTCAATCTATTTTTAATGCATTTTTTCATTCAAGGATGTTCAAGGGAAATGGAATCCTAATGCAAAAGTTCATTTTGACAAAAGGCTTCAGAAAAGTTCCTCGAAAATGGTTTTTTACAGCGATTCAATGTGCGCAAGACGCGTTGAAAATGTTTTGTTGTGTCCATGAAAAGGCTTTAAAAAGAACTAGGGAGAAGGTAGTTTTGTGACATATCAAGGACATCCCAATAATTGCCGCCTGCGGCGGACATTGGCTGTTCTATAATAGTTCTGTTCATGTGTGAACAGAACATCGCAGTGGAGGTTCAATGTCTCGAAATCTCGTACTTTTAACATCTCTGAGATGTTTTTGTGCTAGCTGGGGTACGTCTGCACGTCATGAACTAGTCCCAAATTATACATTTGCAAGCCCCAATATGTAATGACTGATGTGGTTCGCTTCAAAGAGCTGGCTAACACCTTTTTCAGGTGTAACATCCATCAGTTCCGAAGTTTTTCCGTTGTGTGCTGTAGTCCATAATATGCTATAATATGCTACAGTGACAGGCCTGCCAGCTACCTCGATAGGCCCGTTAGAGCTCCTCTAAGTAGCATATTGACTCGCTCTCAGGCTCATCTGATAATTTCCTACACCAACTTGCATACACCGCCCCAGTCTTTTCGTGAAGGTTACAACCACCTCATCATTTCTCCCTTTAGTTACAGCACTGTTAGTTGAAATGAAACAGTGAATAATAGGGAACCATCTCAGGCCGAGGCTACGAAACTCTGAGATTATTAACTCTCATAATTATCTGAAAAAGTCTTTGCTCTGCCGGGTATTCGTTCTCGGGGCTCACAAGACCTCTTCAAATACATTCATGATATCTTTAACTGTTTCACATTGACATTTTCGAACAAGAACAAACACATTTTGAGAGAGATTCTTTAAAGAATCCTCCACGCAGTGTGGAGTTGGCTAGTGTTATCCAGGGGGACAAATGATTCCCATCTCCTGAAGCCATGATCCTTACGATGAGAAATCTCCAAGATGAACCCAGTTGGGTGAAGATTGAATACAAACATTGACGTGGTAAAAAAATCTGAAAGGTTGGGGGAAAATCGAAACCAAAAACCCTCATTCGACTATTGTCGCTCTGGACAACGCGCTCTCTGTTTATATACACAAGCCACGCCCAGAATCGGGCACTAAGCCAAGGGCAGCCTATGTACAGGCAGAGAGACATGGAGACTCTCGCGTGAATCTTTCTACGGAGAGCTCAAAATGATTGTGATTCCTACACAATAGTTTGATTAATCTGGAAACTCTAAGGATTGCATATGATTGCAACATGAAATTGATATAGAATTTTTGCCAACCCATGTTTAGATGACGTTATTATCAAGGTGAAGTTATGATTTTTGGTGTGTTATAGCTGCTTTTCCACTGACGGATTGCTTCTTCATTTCTCAAATCGGGACTAAAATCAATGAAGAATTTTCTACCAACAACTATTGATTGTCCTGAGATGCCAAGTTAACATCAATTATAGACCGGCAGGTAGTGACACATTCAAATTGAAAATAAACAAATCCAAATTGAGACTCATCACTTTCGAAATGAGAATAATCAAATTCAAATTGGGACAAAATGACTATAGGCACGGTATAAACAAATCCAAATTCGAACAAAACAAATTCAAATTGCAACCAATAGATTTCGAATCGGAACATTCATATACCTACAATATGAGATTGATTGATTCAATAGCGAATCTGTTAATTATAAGAAACATGAAATTTTGATACGGATTTTGATCAGAAACAACATCGAATAAACAAATATTTATAAGTAGGTATAAAAATAATTCACATACCTAACCATATCAATTGATTTCAGAGCATCAGAAATTAATTTCTGATCATTAGCTACATATCTACCGCAATTATTATTCATTTCCATCAAATCCTGTACAATGTTGTTATGTTATTCAGAGAGAGAAATTGTGGTCCTCCTTTCTCCTCCACATTGTTTCTCTATTTCGTCCCGATTCTTCACTCATACTTTCTGCGTCTTTTTTTGAGTCAGGTATATCAATTCAAATATAAGGTACGATGAATTATGATTGCTAATAATTAATTTCGATTTTGACACAATATTGACAATTTGTTTCTTAATTCGAAGTTGTTTGGTCCCAAATTAAATGAGTACATTCTTATTTTGAGATTGGTAATCAACTTGAATATGTTAATTAGTTGGAATCGATTAGTCTCAATTTGAACTTCATCGGTATAGAACTAATTACTACTAGAACACGCAATTGATATAACACATTCAATCAATCAAACCTATATAACTGGAGTATACGCCAACCAGTTCGATATTAATCGAAATTGCGAATCCTTATATCACCACAAACATATAAGGACAACGATAAGTTATAATTGTGGTGATGACCATAAACAATTTTTTTTCCTCATATTATTATATTCTGTTGGAGAAATCGACAACTTATCTGAACATGGCACCATTCATTTCATCACCTATTACTTTCCATCATTCGTGTTAGAACACAAACAAGACAATGATGAACGATGCCGCCTACAATGCTGAAGATGGTATCGGAAGATATGTCTCATTGTCTAGCAGACAAAGCAATATATCTTACCTGCAAATCAGTGAGAAGCTGGCTATGCAAATCGTAAAAGTCCTTAGCCATCGGCAGATCGCTTCCCATATCTTGGTGCCCTTGCAAGAACGCCTCGGCAATCGTCACGAGCCAATTATAAATGTCATTGTGTCTGTCCAAGAAGTTGTTCAGTGACTGGTTTATCCTGACGTTTTCCTCTTTGTGAGCGGTACAGAGGCCATCGAGAGTTATCTTCTTGTTCTCTAGTTCTTCAACCATATGTCGCACCTACACAAATATTATTACATGTATAGTGTTCTATTATTTGGTTCAACCCTCTCCTGTTCTTTCGTATTCGTAGGGCGATTTGATTTTTTATCTCTCTCTCTTAATATACTACCCAAAACTATCTACTCTGTCGAGCAAACAAAAATTATCAAACACAATAATTTCTTACCTACTGCGATTACAGAAACTCCCTCATAATTATTGAAAACGGATTAGGTATTTATTTTACTGAAAGTTTGATAATGGCAATCGATTCGGACTAGTCACAAATACTTCTATATTAATTCTCAAAATAATATCTCATGAGGGGTGTTTTTTATCAACGTGACAATTTTTGGATGAAAATAATAATTCTTTTGAGAATTTGAATTATACCAGGCATGATGGTAGTCATGATTAGACTCACTATATGGTATTATTTAGATAAGAAAGAAGAAGAAGAAGAAGAAAAAATTATAACTGTTAGTGTTTTCGAATGTTAAAATATATTAAGCTACACACCTTGCATTGTGACAAGAGCACAATAGTCGTCCTGCACTTTTTCTTTAAAATTTTTTTGAATTTGACAGTACATTTTATGTACGTCAGAATTGAAATATAATTTCATAAACTATTGAGAAGAAAGAATAAATGAAAATGTCGTGCTGTGTAATGAATTGTGGTGATTCTGAAGAGGATGGGTTTCATTTATTTAATTTTCCAAAGGAAATATCAACCATTCGCATGATGTGAAAGGAATGTATATGAAACGGCCTGGATGAAAAATTGATTTGAAGAGAAGCATAATTTGTGAGGTATATAAATTAAAATTGATTTCTCTAAACAGCAGATCAGAATGAAACTATTTGTTAAGCCCATTTTCAAACAGGAGATTTCAAGATCTGTTTGAGAGAATCTGCTGTTCCATTGTTCCATCCATTTCCAAAACAGACCATTTGAAAAAAAAAATCAACTATCATCATCACACGAAATGCAAAACAAAGCGATCATGGAGAAAGAGTAATTGATTGCAAAACTACGTAATGGAATTCAAATCAAGTGAATTGCAACGTGATATATCATTGAATGGCGTTTCCAATACCGACCGAACTACCCATAAGTATATTGATAAGTGTCTACTTTGTCACATTGAAATGTTGTTACACATATTCTTTCAATTTTTCTGTTGTTCTGCGGAAAGTGCCTTATCGCTATGAATTGAAGTGGGTGTTCATACCCTATTTTCTATTTTCCATCTACAGTTATGATTGATTTGACTTCAATCCTAAACTCTGAAATCGTATCTGACAATCAGGCGCTATTAGGGGAATTGAAAAGACAAAGAGCAGAATATATGTCTCATTCTTTTATTTTCGCAAACCATTGTAATATGGAAAATAGAAAAAGACAGAAGTTCAGCAGTGTCCTAATACCATCCAGTGACTCTAGTCAGGATTAGATCATTTGTCTACAGAGTGGAATAAATATCGAATAAAATCACTAGAGATAAATTGAAAGGGAGAAGAAAAACTAAATAATACCAATCAAAAAATAACTACGAAAGATTGGAAAAAAAACTGAAACAGCAACCATTCCGAACAAGTTCAGATTTTGGTACTCTCGATCAAATCTCGTTCAATCTCTATTCACTTTTTATCTCATTCGCACGTTATTTTCAACTCTCCTCAGTTTTTCTGGTGGTATCTCTCTGCAAACTGTTATTATTGTTCGTCGCAACTCTTTTCTATTTCTTGGCCTGCATTTCTCACTCTGTAGCCATATGATCTAATCCTGACTACTATCATGTCTGGTATTATTCAATTTCTTATTATCATTATTATACACGGTGACTTCAAAAATGCAATTATTCAAAAATAGTAACGTTGATAAAAAACACCACTTATGAGATATTGTTTTGAAAATTATCATATAGAAGTATTTGTGGCTATTCCGAGTCTATTGCCATTATCAATATTCTTGAAAAAATGCCTTATCCGTATATTATGAATGATTCTAGGAATACGAAAGTACAGTAGTATGATGGACCAAATTGTGACACACTGTAGATGAAATAGTGATTGGAAGTTGGGGCAAAAATTTTCAATATTGGTGTCACAACGACATCAAGTGAGAATTATGGAGGATGGGAAAGAAGCTACTTATAACAAATTCCGATTTTCAGACCGATCCTCTGTTTTATTCGAATGAATAATACGAATTATTGTTTCACTGTTGGTAACAAAGAATAATCATGTGAAATCTCACCCCTTCTGCACCAGAGGCGCCACGGCCTACTATGTCTAAGATGGCGTAGCCTTCAGCTAGGGGAGCAGCAGTAGCTTCTTCGATGGCCTTGGAACATTGGGAGTGAAGCTGGGCTAGCTGTGGTGAGGTTTTCGGAAGTGCTGTAGCTGTGAGTTGGATCTCCAGTTGATCCAGTTTTGTAAGGACCTTTGAACAAACGCGAAAAGTTATGTTTGTCTTCCAAAATTGGATGCAGTGATTTTGAAATTCGGAAATATCTCCTGTTACATTCCTTATAATCAAAATATTGATTTTGCTCATTCATTCAAATGGTAATTGCCAATATAAAACAGCCCGTATACAGAGTACCCAGGAACAAAAATAGTAGAGGAAGTGTAAACAAACATGAGTCCAGTAATGGCTCCCTGAGAGGAATTACACCTACGTTTTCTTTTGAAGCAGTCAAATATCTGTCAGTCTAATTATGTGATTTGATTTTGAAGAATTGCCAAGTTAGGGGTTGTTTAGAAATTTACGTATTCGCGAAGTGGAATGAAACCCTAGTCATTTCACGTATTGCCGAAAACAGCACAAAACACATTGATTTGTTATTGAGAAAGTGACTCGTTTCACTATGACAACATATAACAGTTAGAAAGTTCGAAAGCACAACTCATATGGGTGGAAATATTCGAAAACACAGTAACAGGGTCTATAGATTATGATGTACCAATGAATAATGATTATTATGCTTAATTTTGGTAAGTTAAGTTATGGTCAAGTTGATGGAAAGTTAGTGTCGATTCAACATGAGTTATTGTCGTTAAAGTTGACGTAATGTTAAGTTGATGAAAAGTTGAAATCAAGTTAATTTCAATTGAAAGTTGAATTAATGTCAATGTATTGGCAATTTAGTGATTAATGTGAAGTTAATGTCAATTTGATATTGAGTTGATGTTAATTTGATTTTAAGGTAATGTCAAGTTAATTTTGAGTTAATGTTGATTTAATGTTGAGTTAATGTTGAATAATTATTGAGTTAATGTTAAGTTGATGTTGAGTCAATGTTAGGTTAATTTCAAGTTAATGTTGAGTTGATGATGAGTTGATGTTAATTTAATCTCAAGTTAATGTTGAGAAACTGTTAAATTTATGTTAAGTTGATGTTAAGTTGATGTTAAGTTGATGTTGAGTTGATGTTAAGTTAATGTTGAGTTAATGTTAAGTTCATATTAAGTTAATGTTGAGTTAACGTTGAACTAATGATGTCATTTAAATATTGAAGTAAAATTAAATAATAATGATAATGAAAATTACGTGAGACAACAAAAGAGACTACTATTTCTTAACAACCTAACTATGCCTGAAACTATTAGGCGAACGGTATACGAAATTTAGAGTTACGCTGTGTGCCGGCAATACGTGAAATGCTTAGGCATTCCAGGGAATGACGGATTTCCCTGTTTGACGCCGACATATTTATACCGGGTGCAACAGAATCATGGTACACCCCCTTTTTCTCCTTTAGTTTCAAAGATAAATTATTGAAATTTGGAATGACCCATCAACTTGAGAAACGTCATGTTTTGACATGAACATGATTTATTTTCCACTTCCGAGCTCACAGGAAGTTGTAATAAGTTTTGATTTTCAAAAGGAACACACCACATAAGTGACATTTCGAACTTCTATAACGTTGTTTGCTTGGTCCCTGAAAAGGGGGCACTAAAAACAATGGGTATCTACTTATGTGAATAATAAAACTCAGGGGGTGGGTGTAAAAGTACAATATTCCTTTATTGTTGGTTGAGGTTGGTTCACTTCATATGGTGGTAAGTGGTGGTTAATTCTGAGAATTTTGAGTAGTGATTTATGAGCAGCAAGTGATGACTATTACAGATGAAACCATAATAACACAATCCAGATTGCAAGTTGCAGTGGAAACTTACCCAGCTTTCCCTCTGGTATCGATACCAAAAGTGTACAGGTTGATCACTAGATATACTATACTTAAACTATGCTAATACTGGGTGAGGTCAATGCATTATATCCTGAATTAGTGCAACTAAAAGAAGGACTAGATACAGCTCACTTTGAAGGATTTTTAGAGGTGCCAGTGGCAGCTTGGAGCAGGAGTGTCCCACAGCAAGTAAGACAGGTAAGTGTTAGATATAAGCAGGCTGGCCTGCTCAAGTCAGCTTCTGATCCACAGGTCGAATCCTTGTTGGCTACCCTCTGTATTAAAACTACAATTGACATGCTAGGCAGGAGGTATATGCAGGCTGGTGTACCCAGGGTACCATGCAGAAAGCAAAAGCAAAGCAGGCAATAATATAAGTCTATGTGGTTATAGCAGTAAGTACACTTATTGACTACTAGAAATCGTTTTTGTTGGCTCTGCAAGTAATAATGCTACTATGTAGAAATTTATCAAATAAGCTGCAGAAATGCTTGATTCAACCCATACCTTGTTCGCAGGTGGCCAGATGTATCAACTACAGCGAGTTGTGAAAAGGATATCTGATAATCAAATTCGGACTAGGAATTTTATCCCTTGGCAGGTAGTAGGCAGTGGACCGTCCTTTGACTACTCATATTTCCTAGTAAGTTTTGATTATACAATTTAAATCCGCAATAATGCGATGGCACGTTTCAATACCTTCATAGGTTATCAGAAAAAGCCCTGTCAAATATCACTATCTTGGCGGGACTTTCCCAGAATCCCGCCAAAATGACCCACTTGTCAGGTTATACCGTTCTAGGTTATTAGGTTGAGTTAGCAGTTATCTTATTTTCAGGTTGAGGACTAACTAGGTATTCCAGATGGAGCAGAAGAAGAAGATGACAAAACCCAGAGTCCAGACTAGTAATAACCTTCAACTAATATAGTAAGGTTAATGATGGATCAATGTTATTATTTTTCTACTACTTGATTTTTCTACTACTTGATTTTTCTACAAGGTAAGATCATTATATTGCAAATGTTGTTGATAATTCACCAATATATATGTATTTCACAGATTTGGACCAGAGGAAGCCCACATCAGTAGAGATCGGACCGAGGATATCGAAGTTGATGGCATGGGTAAGTAACAATGGGGAAATGATTCCTTTTATTAATGGTTTCTCATTATTTTCCAGGTCTGCTGGATCTAAGCAGTACTCGAATGAAGATGGAATATCAAGCATGATACCTAAATGATCTGTATATCGATTGAATAAAGGATTTTAGATAACTCTGCTTCTAGTCTGTGCACATACTTACATTAAATCAAAGTGAAACCGTAACACTTCAATATTAATTTTAATTTGATTTTTGATTTTTCATCTGAGTGTGACATGACTAATGACTATTCTGGCCGAGTCTGATGTACTCATATCGACAGGTGTATTTCTAAAAAAATTGAATTTTCTTGATTTATCACCAAATTAAGTCCATCAAAATGGGTGGTGTACTATGATCCTGTTACACCCGATTTATCGGGAAAAAAGTACTCACTTTTTCCCGTGGAAAAAAAGTTATACATGAAAAGTGACAATTTATAACCTGTCAACATAGTTGAAATGTCATACTTTTTTTACGTCACAGAAAAAAAAACGATTTTTGTTACTTACGTAGCAGAACTTTAAAAACGATGAATCTCGAAAATGGTGAATGTTATCGAAACTAAACAGGAATGTCATTTTTACGTGAAAATGCTGAGATAGCAATAATTCTAGGTCAAACTGCCGAAAATTGAATAAACAATAAGTTGTGAGGAAAAGTTCCCCTTCTGAACATTTCCAAATCGGGAATAGAAAGATAGGTAAGTACATGTACAAAATTTGGTTATCTTATCACAAAGGGTTTCGTAAATATGCACATTCACACATTCACAACTTCTTTTACCAACATTTTGTATCAAATTATTTTCTTCAATTACATGTGGAAAAACCTCTGAGTGATTCAACCTGTATAGTGCAGATAAGAATCAATAATTGATGGATACTATCGATACTGAAGTCGTTCCGAATTGAAATTGTAGATGTATGTGTGTGGATATGCGATCGCTTCAAAGATTGGATTCAGGTTTATACTTCCTCAGAATCAGTGAATGGAAGATCTAAGATTATAGGTATACGCCTCATTTCAAGATGAAACTCCAATAAGAATAGGTGCTTCTGAATGTCAGGTACAGTGGTGTGTAGTTTATTTGCTGCTCATTGTTTCTGTGGAGAATTCGTGAAAGGCAATGATTTACCTATACCTGGTCATTCGATTTTGTACCGACGGTTATTCGAGAGATTACTATCATGGTATGATTTTAAACCAATCAGAACGTTCGATTGAGTTGCATTTCTTCGTATAATTTTGAAAATATGACGTGGATATACATATAGAGTAACTCCGCCAATCAGAAATCTAGAATTATTTCCATGGTAACCAATTCATATTGTTACATACAAACAAAGCACGTCATAAAATATTGACGTTCGTTCAGAACTACTCAAAAGATAATCGCATCGAATACAATTCGAACTTCAAATTGTGTCAGTTTCAACATAATATTTCAACTGTCAAACTGACACTTTTTGTTATAATTATGCAACAAGTTTTCGATTTGAAACCCAAATATACTGAAGTACTCTCTCTATGAGTATAGTATTTGGGTGTATTCCCACCAGGACTCCTGATGGAAATAAATCATGCTGTCACGTTATTCAGCTCTTACGATGGAAAATTCTTAGCTCCAAACCTGAAGCAGTGGATGCACAAAAATTCATAGACTGCTGCTATAGTTCACTAATATTCCATAATGTTTTGACATCAATCAATGAAAGATAAATTAGATTGGCATGGCGCGACGTGGGCAGAAAACATCGTCAAGCATAATACTTCCTCTTGAGGAATCAACCTATCCCAATGTTATCGTCTTAAACAGCAAAAGATGCATGAAATGCTCTTGGAATATCATTTGAAGACATAGGTTTACATAGGGGCCTGAGGCTTCTCAGAAATCTATTTTCGATGAAATTTGGAAACATTCAAAATATAGAGGATTATGTTAATGAGGCGATAGCATCATCTCATAGGTATCAACAGAAAATGCTTTGAATTATAAATTTCTAGCGGTGATCATGGTTCAATGGCTCACTGATATTCCAAACTTGCTGTAAAATGTGAAAACAAAAATTAAGCATGGTGTCGTAACTGTAAGCAGGAAGGTGACTGTAAAAGTCAGTTCATTAATAAAAAAGATCATAAGTCCAAGAGAAATTATGACAAGCCCCATAGCAACAATGAATCGATACCCAACAAGAATCAGGAATCATGAAGAGATACTCTCATTATATTCATGGTGGAAATATAATATGTTGTACTACTCAGGTATCTTGAATTCGTCTTTTTTGCGCATAACGTAATTTCGAGTCTATACTGCGAGCCCAGACTGCGCGAGCAATTGTTTTACTCGCAGTGGCGTATACGAAGATGCGTCGTAGCAGATCATATTATCATTCCACCATGGGTATATCGACGAAGTGCTCCAGACCATGACAGGAAACAGAAGTCTACATACCAAAAAACCACAATCTCCACCATTCTACTTCTTCTTCTTCTTCTCTGCACAGGTGGGCGGGTGCGTAGACCCTATAGCACTCAGGCCTCCTCAGTCGGGCTCATTGTGCGGCCACATGGCCTGTGAATCAACTGGGCATGCCAATTTCTTTGAAGAAATTCAGAAAATTCCTCAACTGAATCACTTTCACATCCTTTAAGTCCAATACAATGCTCCCAAAGGCAGCTTCCCTCTGATGCACCAGCGCGGGGCATTCAGTAGGTAGCACCATCTGCAGATGGGATCATCTTTGATCCCTATGAGCTACACGTGCCTGTTGAGGTAGTTGTGACCATTTAGGAGCCCAACTGACATCTTGAGATCTCTCCTGTTGAGTGACAGGACCTTCCTCGGGAGCCTTCTTGAAGGGTTCTTTATATGGAGCTTTGATTGTCTCATTCCTGGTGTGTCCCGCTATGTTTTAAGGAATTGCCTCTGTATAGCATTTCTTTCATGAAAGACATAGCCATGCTATTGATGGGTATTCCCAATATCGGTTCTGGCCCAATGGTTGTCTTTCCTGAACCGAACTGTCTGCCTTCACGTTCCCAGGAATACCCGAGTGTTCTGAGACCCACATAAGCTGCTAGGTTATGCCACCATCCCCACCATCAACCTTTCCATGCATTCATCGGCGTTTAGGATTGTTGGTATTTACTTCTCAATGATTCATGAATGCATCGCGGTGTCTATCCATTTTAATTAAGTAAGGTACTCACCGTTTGCGCAGATCTGAAGAAGGCGATAACGCGTTCCAACAATGTTTCCCTGCTTTGCAAATCAGCCAGATAGTCGCTGGTAGCGGAAAGGACCACGTACGATTGAGCGGTTGCTGGCTCGCCCGCGAAGCATCCGGAAGCTACCAGCTGCTCGGTAGCCTTGGTTATCTTCAAGGCTCGGTCTTGCAGCTGCTTAGCTTCGGGCAGCAGCTTCTTGTGCTCGTGGAGCAGCAGCTCGGCGCTCGATGATGAGTCGCCTGAAATTGTGTCGTTAGGTCTCAAACATCATCGCTCCGAATTAGATAACAACACTTTCTATACCTTTTCATGCTCAACTTGAGACTGATCTATTTCAAATCGGGAATAAACGGAAACAAAATCGAAAATGAGCATTTGCAAATCAGGAATAATGAACGGTTTCAGATTGTGGATCAACACCATTTAAGTGATTGAAACAGGCAAATTCAAAAATCTATTCGGAACGAATCAACTTCAAATTTAGAAATGACTGCGAATTGGAGTAGCCAATATTATATTTCGTCATATTCAAGATTAGCTAGCAATCATTTCTCAACAGTAAAAGAACAAGGGCTTCTTTAGCGGATACATTTTTCTTCCTGGTGAAAAAATAATGCCAATCAGTAATTTTACGGAAAAAGTTGGCATGAAAAAACTGCGAGACCTCAAGTCGAACAATTTCGTCTAATGTCAATCTTCGAGTGGATAACTGGAGGAAATTCCTCGAGTTAGTGAAGAATACATGAAGACATCATCATGTTGTTCAGAGTATTGAGTATGGAACCATTTAATTATTCTTTCCACTGAGTGTATGGTTATCTGAAATGAGTGAAGATATACGAATTCATCAACTCTGTTTCTGTTGAATTTCGTGTATCATCAACGAAATAACTACCCGATCACAAATTGATACATTTTTGATTAAATTAGTTAGTTCATTCCCAGTTTTCATATGTTCGATCAAGTCCATATGGTTCAATGCTGATTTGTAATTGTTTATTTCCAATTCGAATTTGTTCATGTACAATAATGCATCGCATCGCATCGGAAAATCTTCAATATTCGACAAGTAGATATCCTAATAAGAATTACCATCACAGAAATGTGATTCATTTTCTGAATTGCATAAAATTTCACAACGAGATACAGATTCTCGATGAATTATTGTTAGGATCATAGTCGCCGTTGAAATATTTCTATACATGTGACGCCTTTCATTTATGAAGAATCTAACTATTACGATTGAACGATTAACAAATATCAAGTACAAATTGTTAGTCAATTTCTCATTTCTAAATGGTACATGGAAAAAATATTTTTTTGTGACAGGAAAAGTTTCACATTTCATCTCTGTTGACAGGTTATGAAATGTCACTTTCTGAAAATTACTTTTTCCCGTGGGAAAAAAGTATTTTTTTCCCGTATACACATAAGTAGATATCTTATTAAGAATATTTCATTAAACAAAAGTTACATTTCCTTTATATCAAAAAAAAATTCTCGTGTTGAAATTATATTTCTTCCTACCATGGACACAACTGCCGTTGATGCACCTGATTGCAAATCGGGTGTTATTTCGGCAATGTCACAAGTTCTGAATACTTTATTAGCTGTTTCTGTTCTGTGTGATACCGAATCATCAACTTATCCTTCAGCGACCGTTGATGACTTCCAACCAACATGTTTCTTCAGTGTCAGCAAATCTACCCCAGATTCAACTAAAAGTGTAGCAGACGATCTTCGAAATGAATGACCTGTATAGGTAGCATTTTCAAGTCTTAGTAAACTAGCTACTGTTTCAGTTACCTTATAAAACTGATTTTCACCAACAACCAGATTGATACATTTTCCATTGCGATATGCATAAAACAGGCGGCGATCCTTTGCTGTTGCTGGACGCAGGGCTATGTATGTTCGGTAAAATTTATTGTTCAGTAACTACAAATCTTCTGTCCACATCATTCTTTGTTTGCTTGAGTTTCACAATTATTAATATCGTCCCTGAATCTTCAATATCATCTAATATTACCTGGCTGATTTCACAAATTCGACAAGCTCCTGCAATCCCGAATACAACAACAACTTTGGCCATCAAATAAACTTCATCGGGAGCATTATTTAAAAATTCACCAATTTGTGTACTCGTAAAGATCGCTGCTTTCTTGGGCTTGAAACCTTTTTCATTTTGTTTCAGGAATGTAATCATTTTGGGATATTTTGAAATGCCTACATTATTATTAGATTGTAACATACTTTTAAGGTGGGGTTTATACAGCAATCAAAATAAAATTAGGAATAAAATAAGATAATTTGAGGAATTATGAATGGAATCCACTGTTTATACAGATAACTTGAATACAATTATGATTAAGGAATTAACCAATCCAATCACGGCATTGATGACAATGACGTTTCATGTTTCATGCTCTATGGAGAATCTGTGACAGAATTCATTATCATTTTCCAAATAAAATAAAATGAAAAGATAAAAATTGGTCATCTTTTATTTCATTCTTATTATTATTCTCAACTTATTCCCTGTTTCATGAAAATGCTCATGTTGAACTGTTTTATTTTATTTAATTTTTAGTTCTTATTTTGTTTTATTTGCTGTATAAACTCTAGTTGAATCATTGAATAATTTGACCACGCTGTTGATGGCTTTTGTTGCTGTACCAGTTCAGAAATATAGGCCAATATCACCGTTTCCGAGAAAGAACTGCATGACTTTTTCATCTTCCGTTCCATGATACTTGAATACGCGGTTTCTTTCTTTCTTTCTTTCGCTGCTTCAACTAACTCCGGTGGAGTGAGAGAATAGTCGATTCCAGACATTTAATTTCATTCAAAAAAACCACTAAATCACTTTATGAGTTTGCAATGATTTTCGAATGAAAAATTGAATTACAGAATTGAATTGACAGAATATGACATAGCAACAAAGATGCCTACAATCACCATACAATGGAGGTGTAAGAACTACAAATTTCACATTGATAATTTTCTGATTATATGTTATATCTTTTCTATATTGAAGCGTCTTTCTTCATGTCACAGAAAAAAATTGTATTATACACGGGAAAAATATTATATTTTAGCTCACCACCTGGAGCTAAAATCTACTTCTTTTTTCCCTTGTATAATAAATAATTATTGAAGACCACTACGATACCATTATCATTTATTAAAAGTATGATAGTACAATATTACACTCACCTTGTTCGTTGCTATTAGCTAATAGTTCCCTACGATTCTGAATCGTATCTTCCAATTCACGCAAATCTGCCGCTAGAATAGCCAATGCCAAGCATTGCTCTAGTTGCGTCTTCCTCCTGTTGAACGTGGCTTCCAGGATCTGTCTCTTCACGTGTAATCCATCTAGCCATCCTTGCACTTGGGATATTGCTGAAAAAATAGGTCGAAACAGCATACGTATGAGAAATGACATTTTGTTGTAGCAGTCTGAAGATTATAGTGGATTTGGCACTTAATTATTTTCATCGGGACCTTGTTCTAGTATCTTTCTCTTGTTGGCTGGCTCTCAGGTATTCTGAAATGTTCAGTAGAATATTCAAGGTGTTTTACTAGGGGATAAACCTTCGTGATATAGTGTGTTGAATGAAACGTTACATCACTACAAAATAAATTCTTTCTTCCTGGTGAAAAAACTTTTCGAATCATATATTAATTTGGATATCCACACAGTGAATGATCTGATCGAAGCATGAATGTTTCGTATACCTTTATTATGTGGATATGTTGCATTGCTATACTGTCCTCACAAATTGTTCCAACATCTTTGTATATATTCGTATTATTTCTTTGTGTTCCCAACAACCCAAGAGGTTCATGAAATTTTCCATATTCACTGTGGTATCTACATGTAATTCTATATCTTTTTATATTCATTCTTTATTCTTGAGAAAATACACATTATTATTATACAGAACAGTCTCATCAACATTTACCCCACCCCAAGAATTCATCGCTTTTGAAGTTATTTGTTTCAAGTAGGCAATATAGGCAATCACTCCTCTCAAGTTGACCCATCACAGCGTATTTCAATGTACTGGGTGGGCAAAATCAGGTGTTTTCACGGGCTAAAGTACGATAAACACGTTAGAGATTTGATTTTAGAGACATCTCAAATGGCACAATTGAAATTTTGATATTTCCATTCGTTTCAGAGAAACAGGGAGAGATTGAAAAATTGCCGATTTCGTATCTATTTTCTGAGTACTTTATGGTGAGTTTGATGCGTACCATCTATTGGCATCATTAGACATCTTATACAGGGTGCAATTGAAAAGATACGGCAGTCAATTATATTGTAGGGCGACTACAATAAAAATTGAATGTGTAGGTACATTGACGATAATATTGGGAATTGATCAAATGGTACTTACACTATTTGAGGATGATTACAATGGTGTTATAAATTATTTGGAAGTCGATGTTACTTTTTTTGGTCGGGACAGTGTCACGAAACATTCAATTCTTTTTGTGAAATAAACGTTGAACAAAATGTTCAATGTTTTATTTGGTGATAAAAATATTTTTGGACTACTGTAAAAAATTATGTAATATCCGACTTTCAATCGTTGGTTTCCAATCCTTTTTGGTCTGTAGTGAAACAACAGTATCACGTGATCACCGTTTCACCGTTCCATATATGATATGGTGACATGTCCAATGATACCAGTAGGTATTTCGATATAGCTAAAATATTAATTGAAACGTACAGTCGTATTCAATAAAAAGCGTAAAAGTATTAAAAAGAGAGGATTACGGGATCCTAGTTCTAGTTGTGTAAAACTGGCTCAGCCAATGCTTTGTGTTTTCGAGAACCTATGACAACTTTACTGTCAACATTTGGTGAACAAACATTCCCGATAGCCCGTTTTATGCAGAATAGGATGACGTCAATATCTCTCTGTAATATACTTGTACGCTTTTTTTCTGATGCGACTGTACGTCACCGTTTTCAATGTTTTTTTTTTCAAATTGATCATCATTTGAAATATTCTCGAAATTGCTAAGAGAATATTATTTATGTGGAAATAAACTGTATTGGATTGGAACGAAGTTCCTTCGGAGCAGTATGATTTGGAATGATGTTGGAAACCTTGGATTTTCTGATGTTATTAGTTCTATTGGTAGCATCCTAACTTGTTACCGATCATTAGAAGAGGTTAGGTTAGGTCACAAGTGAGTGGGTCTATTGTCGCTCTAACCAATTCATAGTTCACCAAGTAGATCCAACTTCTTGAAGCCGATTAGTTCACTTGGTGAGTGATCTTTCGGGACCGAGGGTGAAAGTGAAACCCTGCGAAACGGCAAAAACCTGATTCGAGCTGATGCGGGAAAGGCACAAAGTACATGTTATGCTGTTTCATCATCTTCAAGACAAAGAAGGCACGTCGGATTATCCGAAAGCCCAAGTCCTGACATGTGATAATTCAGACGAGCGTGGCCTGTGAGAAGACTTGTTAGAGAGCCTAGGTCATTCCTGCTGGATTTTAACATTTGTTTGGTAACATTCTCCGAAGAATGCTGAATGAGTACTTTGGAGTATATTTCACATATTTTCAATATAGGTAAGTAGCAGCAGTACTATTGATCGAAATTAGATCCTGAATGGTCTGAGATCAAGACTATATTGGGTGTCTGAAATAATCTGGTTACCTTTGCTAACAGAGCTTCGGATTCGTTCGGGTCTCGAGTCGAGTGTGCCTTCGGCTCCTAATTCCTTCAGTTTTTCTAGCAACGTGTTTCCTGCTTGTAGCGCCCCCATCAGGGATTCCAGCAGGGCCCTCCTCTGGTCGTGTATGGTAGTCAAGAACTCCTTCACGGCCTCGATCTCAATCGGCACCACAGTGTCCTTGCAGGAAGCTTCGAGGAGCTCCATCTTCTCGAAGAATTCCTGGGCTTTGGTGTGGTAGAGGACGTTTAGGTCCAGGATCTATCAATTGAAAGAGATATGGATGAGTATTGTTTCCTTCTAATCACACAAAGTCTATGTATATGTTGTGTATTCATAGGCCGGCACGAAGAAGTTCAGAGCAACCCAGTTCACCACACTTCTTGTCATATACCAAAAGAGAGATTGATCATATAACTTTATTCAATTTCATTGTTCTGAAACATGCCTATCTATGATATAACTCGTATTTTTTCATCAACGTGATGAATTTGGGTATCCTAGGCTCCAACACAAACGGAATCGATTGAAGAACTTTGTATCATGATGCAACTAATGCAATGTATGCATATATATAATACGTTCTCGCTGCTCATGATTGTTTTTTATCTCTTGAAGAAATTCGAATAATGTTCGAGGAACATCGTGCGTACTCAGAGAGGATAGAAAGAGGAGATAAGTGTTGGAATTCTTTCGAACTTTGGTAGGTCATAAGTTCTTGGGAATACTTTCTACTTTCATTGGCAAGGAATTCCAAAGCTTCGCCGTTCTAATGACGAACGGATTTTGGTAGAGTGTTGTTCGACATTTTTCAAGGTTAAGGACGAAGGGATGTGCTGACTGAACCTATTGAGTTCGTCTGACTGGTAAAGCTAGTGATATAATTGTGGCAGAAATTTCTAAGGAACATTTCCCATGGAAGTATCTATAGAAAAGTGAAAGGTCGCCGACTGTTATACGGTTCGAATGGCGTCGAAGAGTTAGTGAGTGTGGCATCACCAACCAGGTGAATTACTCATCTTTGGATCGAATCCAAGATGATCAGCGTATGTTTCAGTGCTGAAACCCATACATGAGAACAGTATTTTAAAACTAGCTGTATCTGTGTTTGTAGATAATAAGAAGCTGTTGAGGTGTAAAGTAGATTTTCGCACAGAACAAGAATCCGAGTTTTCGTTAAGCAGTTTCGTCGATGGATCGGACATGATTTTGTCGTAAGAGAGTATCGCTGATACTTATACCGAGCATAATAATAGAGGTATTGGTTGGAATGGTGATACCATACATTGGTCAATCAGCCGGACAGGGTTTCGCCTTTCTAGAAAAAATACAGGCTTGAGTTTTGGTAGAGTTGAATTCAACTATGTTGTTGGTTTCCCTCGCTGTTATTTCCGCAAGATCTGCATTGACAGCGTTGGCCTGCCTTCGTACCATCTGCAAAGCTGTGGATAGAGCAAGTGGTTGCTCCCAATAGATTATTGATATGGAGTAGGAACAATGTTGTTGCCAAAATTGATCATAGTGGAATACCGAAATTGATGGCAATAGTATCAGACGATACTATATGTTCACCACCACATGGAGCGATCTGCCTGAAAGAAGACTCGATAAAAGATGACATAGCTGAAACGGTAAGCCGTATAATGATAGTTGGTAAAGGAGTCCTTGGTGCCAAATAAATACGGTCGTATGCTTTCGATATATCTAACGCTACAGCTACAAATTCTTTATGTTTTTCTAATGATGCTTGTCATATGTAGGTGACGTAGGCAAGTAAATCGCAAGTTGATCTTCGATGGCGAGAGCCATATCATCAATGATTCCTGAGCTCTCCAGATATTTGATGAACTCAATGTTTATGGCTTTCTCCATCACTTTGGAGATGACTTATAATAGGGCAATTGGCCTATAGGTGTTGAGAAGGCTCTCGTTTCCTTTTTTGGGGTTTTCTTTTTTTGGGTTCAATCATATATATTTTATCAACGAGGAAAATTGACTCGAATTTTCAAAAGCGGTATTTATAATCACACGTCAGTGTTTTATCAAGAGCTTCATTCACGTCGTTGTCAATGTCATATAAGTTGGTCATGAGCAATGTTAGTAAATGGATCTCTCAATTCAAATAAATGAGGTAGTTTTGGAGCACAATATAAACTTTCAACGATCTATTGTTCGCTCCACGAACTCGAAATATATGAGGAAGTTTTTTCGTAGCTTCATCTACTTTTCATGAATATTCAATTGTTCACGAGATATTCACAAAGAACTCGAAGAACTTGAGGAGAAATACATGTTTTTGGTCACTGCCACTGAAGCTTGTCACTGATTCATCAGAACTTTGAGCTTTATCATCAATAGGCATCTATAAATATATTTGTGAAGTTTCAAAACCATTATATTTTTTCCCACCTAAATCATTGGTCATTTCAAGACTGAGCTACGATCATCAGGATAATATCATGATTGAAAAATAAAATGTTGATGATTGAGGATGGTTAGATACAAAAACGTGCGGAATTTTGGTTTCTGAATAATTCCTTCAATTAACTGTTTTCTATTTCGCAAGGCAGCAATAGCATCAGCTGTTGTTTACACCTATATCGCTCACCTGTTTTCGGAGTTCTAGGTTGGAGTTGATGTCTTTCCAGGCTCTGCCAAGAGATTCCGCCATCGCTGCGTACACTTCGGCGCGTGGTTTTTGGGTGGCGATAAGTTGGTCTGCTTGACGAAGGAGTTCTTCGACAGGACTCTGTTTGTTCTGAAAAAGCACAAGCAGTTGAACATCGTTTATAACATTCGTGAATGCCTATTGGTACGATGAAATTCAGAGATCAATTTATGATAACGGTTATACACAGTTGCATGAGTGTGGAAATGCACTTGAAAAACTAGCCGAATCAGAGAATGTTGAAATAGTTTGGGTATCCGGACATGAACAGGCTTTACGACGCCATTTTGGGGACCGCAACCTGTCATAGGCATAGCAAGGAATCAAGTTTCATTTGCACATAATGAATGGGCGATGGCAGCGATACGTGAACGCTAGAGGAATATCACCAGCTGCAGGCAGTCTGAAGACTTCGTGGCTGGGCCAAGTAAACCAAGGACAGCCTGGTAACTTGGCAGAGATCACCAAGTTCTGCGCGTTCTCATAGGTGTGCTTACAGGACAAAATCGGCTAGGTAGTCACATATCGCTAATAGGTATAGTAGATAACCCCAGTTGCCGTAAGTGTAGAGAAGACGTAGAAGGAACGTCATACCACTACCTGGGACAGCTAAGATCCATAATCTTTGGTGCTGATACGCTTCATTAGGAAGATTAACCTAAGGTGGACGGACATGCTGACCTTGATCAGAAGGTCAGGGAGGTTGGAAAGGGAGAATTAGGAGAAGGAAGAGAGGATATTTGTGCGGCAGGGGCCAGCAAAAAAGGCCCATGAGGGCCTACATGCTAGGCAACCGTCTTCCCTCTCTCTCACTATTACTACTATTACTACTACAATACACAGTTGCAGAAATCATTGATCTCAAGTACCTAGATCACGAAGTTGCTCATTGATTTCACTGTGCCCTTGGGTTATGTTTCATGTGACTGGAGCGAACAGATTGATTGTGTCTCGCCCTACTAGTCCAAAAAGGCGATATGTTTATCAATAATTCTGATCTAGATTTTTGAAACTAAGTGCATGTGCAGAATTTTTATGTTTCCAAAGCAGAGCATGTGAGTTCATTGTTATATAGTTTTGATCAAAATTGAATTATGAAGATACCAAATTTATATTTATATTTTCGAATCCAACCCATTTTTGTCATTAATTTTTGTGTGTTCATATTCATGTTTGAAGCAGTTCGATTCATATGCATTACTCATCAGTATATTCTTCTCCCTATCCAATAAACATTAATTCAGGATCATACGTCATTTCTTTCTTGTTCAAACGTATTATTGCTATTCAGGTGTTGTCTATAAATCCCTGTTCTTTAACATTATTGTTAAAATTATGTCTATGGTCAATTCTGGGATCTGCCTAATTTTTTCACAGACATTTTTGACGAAAATACCTCCAAGTGCGTCAGTTCTGGTATGTCACTGTGAATATACCAGTAGAATATATGTCATCAGAAGGTGCGAAAACATGAAATAATCTTGGAATCCTCCTTCGATGCATACTTTGTTATGGGAATTATGATTGTATCCATGCATGCATGAATCACAACTGACATGATGTAACATTATGAACGCACTACTCTCATGAAATCTGGTTCACAAAACTATTCTTAATTCTCAAGAACCGTTGAAAATATATTTTGTCAATAATTACATTCTTCCGAGCATTCTTCTATGGCACACCGGATCTAATTTGAATATAAGTTTTTGGTCATTAAATTTTCAGACATACTTTTAGAGACCTCATTTGTATTCCATTCATATGGTAATGCCAAACAAGAATTTCTCTCCTATATAAATAAGCAGCACTTCGTATAGTAGGTGGTACTTCACGATGTGTTCGGATATACAGATACGCCTGGTCCATTCATGAGTGAATGTATGTTCAACTCATATTTCATTCATATCACATCTCCATCTACATAACAGTTATTATTTTCCACGATATACTCCGGGGTTACCTATACGTCTAGGGAGTATGTGGAATCACGAACCTTATTTCAGTATTGAAAAATAAAATACCTAACCAAATTTACTGAATTGTTGGAGTTTGTTCAATAAAAACAAAGATATTATATGAAAATGGAAGTCATTGCGAGTTTCGACGTGAACATTTTTTTTTATGAATGGAGAGAACCAAGTTTTGGTTCAATAACGTGTTATGAAAGAAATAGTCAATGAGGAATCCGATGTTTCTTAGTATGAGGTAACTTGCTATCCACAATTATATATTCTCATTTTCTTTTAACAATAGAATTATACTAACTCTCATATCAGCTTTGTCATCCCCGATAGAATATTTTTATCCGAATAATTACTCTCCCAATCGACCACAACCTAATTTTCTTTCTCAAAAAGTCAGCAATGTGTGTTGTCGATATACTTGACTAGAGTGTTGACCAAAAATTAAATCATTTCGACTGATCAATATTCATCCAGATATTAGAAACAGCATTATTAAGGTGGTTAGTGAACGTTTCGAATCAATCTGGATAGCGCCACAGTATCGACTTCAAACGGAGAAGATATTTGCAATATTTCCATAATCAACATCCTTGAGCAGAAGGCAAAGCAGAGATAGTTGATTATTCAGAAGTAAATGTATCACATAGTACACAATGAGTGTAAATAGAAAGGTTCTGAAGAGATACAGAGCTGATACCTGAACAACAGACATACTCAGCTGTTCCGAAGCGTAGCTACATGGCTTTTCAGTAGAACATGGTCAAGAAGTATAATGTTCCATTCATTCATTTCATCAGTAGACAAATGTCACTATCCCTACATCATCATAATATGACTAATGCAACGTTATTTACAATAACGGATAACTCATAATTGATGTCAGACAACATGGTTGATGGTATTAAAAATAGCTCAGGCATTCAATATCCAAACAGTTCTATTTTTGCAGATGCTTGAACTGCTATGCAATCATCACAACGAGCCAAAACTGTAATCGTTCCAAATTTCTCCACACGATATTCTTAACAAAATTACATTAAAATATCATATTTTTTTCATGAATTTCCAATAACTGGGATAACATTGAATTCATATTATTATTAAATTCAATTCAACACTCAAGAAGTTGAATCTGATCATATTTCCTACCATTCTGAAAAGTCCTTCTTTCTGAAACACAATTCTAATTATACCAGACTGGTGTTGCTATCGATTTATTATGAATTGTTATTCTCGATTTATCGATTGCTTCCATTCTACTTTTGTGCAATGATAAAAATATTTTTCTGATCTTTTTTCATCTCGTCTCTTCTCCACTATTGGAGTTTATGTGCAATCATCTGATATATCAACTCCATACAATCAATCCGTGTAAATAAATGTAGTAAACTCCTGAGTGATTTGCACTGGCTGATAGATGGTGAATGGTATTATAGAAACATGAAAAAATTCTCCGAATTTTGGATGATATTCATTGAGAACTATGACTCAGATGATGCTCTCTCTGTATTGTCCAGTTCAATCCTGCCGCTGTCCTGTCACGAGTACGTATCTCTGAGTAAGTAAGGTTTGTTCGCATCCACAAGATCAACAGTTCGAAACCATCAGAAGCATGTGCACTGACAAAGTTTGGGATAGTTTTGGTCCAAAGCAGTAACGAGCCTCTGGGAAAGAACTGTCCATGACGCGCATGCGTTTATGCAACAGATTTTCAACCTTCAAGTTTCTTAGTTGAAAGATTCACTTTGAAACAAGGTAAATAATGGGATTATCATAAAAAATTAATAAATATTATGAATAATGAGCATAGGAGCTCCAGCTCATCGTCCTCTTCAAGTTCAGATGTTAACAAACGTTTTCAAACATTTTATCTGCTGGAAATCCTCAAGACCAATCTGAAGGATGGTGGTTTTGAATGAATCTGTAATCATATCAAATACTCAGGGATCAATTTTGGTAGGTGTGAGTGTAGGAATATCTTATTGAAGATGGTTTAGGTATGTTCTCGATCCACGTGAGTTGAGACACAGCATATCGAGAAAGATGATGAGAAAACGGAAAATCGCGTTCTCGTTTATTTGGTTTCAAACCTATTACAGACTCATTCCGGATGGAATTTGAGCGCACCTGATCCTGCGCAGTTCAAGGACCGTTTCAGCGATTCGGAACACGAACAGACCTTATTTTATGATTAGCCACTCATATTTCTATCTAATATTATGTAGTGAACGAGATGTGAGCGAACTAAAAGTGGTTTGATAGCAATGAAAATGCAAAGGTTGACGAAATAGTTGACGAATTAAGCTTCCTATAGTGAAACAACTCTAATTTCATAGAATAGACGATGAAATGGTGAGAAAACCAATAATTCTCTCAATCGGTAGGATGGAAAAGTTGTAGGGCCGTCATTAGGACCTATAGTAATATACGACAATATTAGTTGATGAAATGAGATGTCGTGGACCAAAAATGACGAAAAAATTATTCGACTTCTTCTTATGACACTTCGATACCAGGGACCTGGATCTCTCCAGCTACAGATAATTTTGGGACTGGACTACACAACCTTGAATTTCAGCGGAATAGTTCAGTCTAATAAATTCTGCATTATTTTCATTATGTTCAGTTGAAATCGTATTTCCATACAGTAATGTATACCCCTTGTTATTCATTGAACAAAATATTGATTGTGCATTCAGCCATTCTTTGATGTTGAGTTTATTGAACGATGACTTGCATTCACTATAAGTTCAGTCGAAAAATAGAAGTAGATTGTCTTATTAGGATCAAAAGTGACATTTTGTTTGACAAGCGAATTTTCCATTAACTGAAGCAAAATTTGCGGGTCAAACAAAGTCACTTTTGATCCGATTGAAACATGCTATTTTTTCTGCAACCGAATTCACTAAAATAAATATGTGAAGTAACCACCAAAGTGACTTACTTGACAAATTATAATAATACCTTTGTCATAATAATATAGGTAAGTAGATAGAAGCAAGACCTCAGACAATTTTTATTAGAATATTGGTGGACGATGACTTCACTTTGTTACAATTCATCAGGTTTATTCAATTTTCAATGATGTTCGAATTGTAGTTTCAATATAAATACAACCACCGAGTGACCCATTTGTGTATTCTATTGAATCGATGAATTGATTAATTCATTTGGATCAGATGTCTGTTCTAATAGCAAATACCGCGCCAGTGCCAGGTATAGAAAAAAAAGTGGAAAATGTTAGGTTAGTGAGCATATCAACAATAATAATAGCGATTATTTATATTCTCCATCTTCCACAATGTTTGGCTCGGTAATCAACATAACGTAAACAATATCGTTGTGTGAGACAAAAAAGGTCTATTCGCTTGTGTTGCTACACTTGCTAAAGTTGATTCTGTTGCCATAGTTGTCTCTGTTCATGGCATGATATAAAAATAAAATGTCATAGAAAAAAATCAAGTCTAGCAGGTATAGCAAACATAAACGAATAGGCCTGAAGGAATAAAACCTCACCTGCAATTGCCTGAGTACTTCATCATGGGCTTTCTGTAATACTAGTGCCTCCTCCAAAGTGTCGCCTAGTTTGGTCAGTTCTGGAGTTATTTCCAGGATTTTCAAATTGATCCAGTCTCCACACTGAAACAGAAATATCACTCTGAAAATAGTCGTGGATATGAATTTCATTGAATCGGATCATCTACTATTAGATTTAGTACAACGAATCTATTTCAAGTATCAAGGATAATGAGTATATTAACCTCTCTCAAGATACGATTCACAGTAGAGCTTGCATGACCAATGGTGATTATAATATGAGGGAAGGTGAGTGAAATTGATGAAAAAAGATTCTACCGATAATTGATTGATCTATAACGCAGAATACTGATTGGGTGAGATCCTCCGATAGCTGCCCGTATATTATTATCGCCCGTTCTAGTTTCTTTGTTCCAAGAACCTATGAATGTTAGAAATTCTTCGCTCATTAGCCAACTTTTTGTAAATAAGTACCGGAAACCATTTCTCTTCTCTGTGCAAACTGTTTGATTCAAGAAAGTGCTTTGTTATAGGTCAGTATTTTAGTCTATGTGTAAATTACCGATTTTGTTTTTCTTGATGTTGAGTTTATTGAACGACAAAAAAAGGAAATTATTTGTGGATGCCTAGAAATATTTTGCCGTGGGTAAACTACACAGAGAATTTTCATGAATCAAAAAATGTTTGTTCCATCATCTCTGACGATTCACACCTTGTTAGATAATCACAAATGAATTGGAAATAATCAACGAACTTTGAGGATTACCTGTGGATATTACCTCTTGAATTCTGCAATTTGATATACTTACAGGTGACATAATTTATTTTGGGTCATCTGATTAATATAGCACCTTGGCAACTTACCAGCTCCCAAATTTTTGATGTGAAGGGCATTGGGACACAAACAACCACTGAAGATTGTTGAATCCATATCATCAATGGAATATAGTACTTCTATAGTACTATGAGTATAAAATCCACGATAATAAATACATCGCACAGTAAAGAATGATAAGTTTAACCGTCAATGAAAATTTTTTCAGGGGAATTGATGAGAAACATAATTAGTTTTACAGAAAAACTTATAGAGAGCTACGAAGTGATAAAAGATATTGATAATTTTTCTTGAGTAAACAAACATTGTAGTTGGAGTGAATAGATTAATAAATTATTGAATCAATTTTATGCTTCCTGTTTCATCGCCATCAAATAATATTCAGGAATCAGAATTATGTATTTTTGACAAATCCCATAGTTTGTATCGTAACAGGAATCCATTTTTTGTCCTGGATAAGTATATACTCGCTGCTGAATGTAAAATTTGTGCTCACAAGTTCAACAATCTTCATATTGAAGCAAAGTCAATATCGGTTGCGTAACATGTGATACATAATAATATAATTTCAAACGACTATATTCATGAAAATATGGATGATATATTCTTTCAATCAACATTACGTTAGCAACATTTATATTCGATGAATTATTATTTGTATTTTAACTGTATATCGAGATGTCCTGGTAGTTTAATTTCAATATTATGATCAAGGAAGGCTGTGACTAAGAGTATGATGATAATAAAGATAACATCAATAATAATCTTGTGTCGAATAAGTCGAATTAATTTGTCAAATCCGAATATATTTGTTATAGAAATATTCTATTTCTTTTTCATGTTAGTTCTCATATTTTGTATTATCGGAACAAAATATTGATTGTTCATTCAATAATTTTTTGATGTTGAGTTTATTGAACGATGACTTGCATTCACTATGAGTGCAGTCAAAAAAAAAATAGTTGATTGTTTTATTAGTATCAAAAGTGACACTTTGAAAAGCGAATTTTGAAAATTTGCGAGTCAATGAAGGTCACTTTTGATCCGAAGGAAACACATGCTATTTTTTCTGCAATCGAAAGAATTAACTGAAATAAATATGTGAAGTATAACAACCAATAGTGACTTACTTGACAGATTATAATAACACTTTTATTATAATAATATAGGTAAGTAGATAGAAGCAAGACCTCAGACTGAATTCATTAGAATATTGGTGGACGATGACTTTACCTGTTACAATTTATCAGGTTTAATCAATTTTCAAGAATGTTCGAATTGTAGTTTCAATATAAATACAACCACAGAGTGATCCATTTGCGTATTCTATTGAATCGATGAATCGATTAATTCATTTGGTCCAGGTGTCTGTCCTAATAGCAAATACCGTGTCAGTGCCAGGTATAGAAAAAAGAAGTGGAGAAGGTCAGTGAGCATATCAGCAATAATAAAAGCGATTATTTATATCTCCATATTCCACTATGTTTGGCTCGGTAATCAAATGAATGTAAACAATATCGTTGTGTGAGACAAAAAAGGTCTGTTCGCTTGTGTTGCTAAACTTGCTGGAGTTGATTTTGTTTCCATAGTTATATCTCTGTTCATGGCATAATGTACAAAAAGAAAATTATAGAACGAAATCAAGTTCAGCAGGTGAAGAAAACATTAAACGAACAGGCCTATACATTATTGCTGCTGATTATTCAAAAACGAGTTATCCAATCAATGAGATCCCGAGAATGAATGAAATACAGATCAAGCAAGTATGTAAATCTTGATGGCGTTCCTGTTTCCTGAACAAAACAAAATTACTCAACTATAATAAATGGTGTATTTATATCTCCAGCATGGGTATGAAATGCCAAATCTGCCGAAATCGGGAACAAATCATGTATGCGTCCCAACCCAAATAAACAACTATAACAATGTTGTTTATACTTGATGATCTAGCTCCTACCCAGCGAGCACAAAAACATCTCAGAGATGTTAAAAGTACGAGATTTCGAGACATTGAACCTCCACTGCGATGTACTGTTCACACATGAATAGAACTATTATAGAACAGCCAATGTCCGCCACATGCGGAAATTATCGAGATGTCCTTGATATGTCACAAAACTACCTTCTCCCTAGTTCTTTTCGAAGCCTTTTCATGGACAGAACAAAACATTTTCCAAGCGTCTTGCGCACATTAAATCGCTGTAAAAAAAACATTTTCGAGGTACTTTTCTGAAGACTTTTGTCAAAATGAACTTTTGCATTAGGATTCCATTTCCCTTGAATGAAAAAATGCATTAAAAATAGATTGAACATAAAAATATTTTCTTGATATGAAATTACCTTCTTAATCGGTTTCTGAGTAGTGCTTAATACACACAGACATATAATTGGAAATTTTGAAATGTTCTCCACAATGCATAATTTTGCAACTGCGGAGAAGCTGTGTATTGATAAATTCGTTCTTTTATATATTAATAACACTGAGGCACCGAACAACACATCTTGCATCTGATGGTCATTATTACAAAGTAAATAAGTCTTCTAACACAATAAACTTCACCAAATTCCTTTCTGTTCGTTAGCAGCGTGATGTAAGTGTGTCACGCTGCAAACGCGAATGCCAATTGCGAACAAGAAGAACAAAATCGAAAACAAATCAGAATTCATCGTATTGTGACGTAAGCATGAGACGTTGTGGTGGGGCAAACAAAGAAAGGGCACAAAATAACAAAAACAATACTTTCAATATCCTTCTAAGACCTCTTTGGGAAGTGCATATTACGCCTCAAAAAAGCATCCTCATGCCTACATTTCTTAAACATCCCAAAACATCCCATCAGGGATACCTCTAAGTAGGCAAACAAAGAAATGCCACAGAAGAACAAAAACAATACTTCAATATCCTTCAAAGACCTCTTTGGTCAGTGCATATTACGTCTCAAAATAACATCTTCATGCCAACATTTTCAAAACATCCCAGGGATGTTTGTTCTCGCTGGGTATAGTAACTGAAAGTGTTACCTAGCAAAATACCTATGTTTGTGTCAGTAATAGAAACGTCAATTCGAGAGCTAATTTTGGTATTGAAATGGACGACTTTTGTGTCGATTGCAGAAAAATGAAAATTATTTGTGGATGTCTAGAAATATTTTGCCGTGGGTAAATCACACTGAGAATTTGCTAAAATCAAGAAATGTTTCTTGATTCGGTTTTTTCCTGATGAATTATTTTTGTGCTGAATATGTCCACTCCACTGTTCATTTCAAATGATTTAGAATTTAGATTCAATACATTAAAATATTCACCGTCACAGAGCTGACAACTGTAAATGATGCACATGTTGCCACTTATGTAGCTAATTATTGATCTATTGCTCAAATGTGAACTCAATACTAGTTTATTTATCGTATCCTGTCGTGGGTTCACTAAAATGTGCCATGAAACGCTGCCAGGTACTATAAATAGTGAATGATGTTATAAACAGTGGTTGTATGCGTATACTGTATAAATAAATCAGATATTACAGAATTGTTTGAGGCCTTTACTTTCTACTTTACGTAATGATCGAGTCCACCATCATCACCATTATTTCAGAGCATATTCATCCGTAAAAGTCAATACCTACTACATATAGGGAACAAGATTGACAGAAACTTTCTAGTAGTAAATTTTCTCTGCCGGTGATTCTGTTTATGGTCCTAATCTTATCAGCATTTTGGCAGCCGAGAAATGGCTTGGATTCATTAGGAATTTAACCGTTTAATCGTGTTTCCCGAAGTATGACTAGTATTCGTGGGGTATTCCAACACTCCTTTTTTTATTGAAAAGGAAAATATACATTGAGAATTCGCATTCTCCATGTGATGAAAATATTGATTCTTTCTCGGTTTATTCAACAGAAAACAACTACTTTCTTGGATATAAGCCACGACGAATATTGAATTACATCTATTGAAAAACTGTCGACTTTTCTAAAATGTTGCTATTTTCTGAAAATAGCGGATCGTAAAAGTATGATCCTCAAAAGAACTCGAATCATATTTGAATCAACAGAGAGAAATATTTGATACGAGCAAAATGAAAATCCATATTCTTTGGAGGCTGTAAAAATCACTTGAAATGTGTTTAGAGTAGTCGCTATTGAAGCTTGTTCTTCAGAGCTCACTATTGTCGCCTATGATAAAAACAACATTCCATTGATAGTAGAAAAAAACTGACAGGGGTATAATTTGCACACCCCAATCACCCTCTATTCAAGAAACTGTTT